ACTTACAAACCAATAACACAACCTATACAAGAACTAGTCTCAGCTATTGGAAAATCGGAACATTTACACATAAAAGAAGAACCTGTTGACTTACAAGAAGAATATTTTAAAACTTCAACACCTACAAAAGTTAAAATAACTCCGAAAACTGGCAAAACTCCTATATTACCACCTGAAACTCCATCATTTTTTAACAGATCAACAGAATCTATAAGTCAGATTCCCAATATACAAGAAACAAGTATTATTGCAGAAACATTTCCTTCACAATTTAACCATTCAGAAAATAGAAATTTATCAGATATATTAGAAGAGACAAGACAAACTATTCAAACATATGTTGGGAGTTCGGGATATGATGATTGGTTGAATGCTTTCCACGAATTACCAAGAACATATATAGATGAAGGTGTGAGAGATACAAAGTCTAAGTTTGATCATAATTATGGAATAGTACATGATCTCGAAAGAGATAAATTTTTTTTGGGTTTAACACAAAAACCTGTGGAAATAATTGGTAAAAATATTCATGTGGAAGGTATAAAATATCCCGGAACGGTTGGTTTATATGAATTACTTTTTAAAAAAGAACCTGTTGGATACAAAAATGATGATTTAGAAAATTATATGGACATATTAAAAAGAACTAATGCATATCGTAGAAATTTTGATCCCAACGAGCAAGTGCAAGGAAATAGTTCACACAAATATGTAACAATAATTGGACCTTACTTGCAACGAAAGGGTATTACAAAAACTAAAACAATAACACCATTGGAAAGGTTGACTGAAGCTTTTGCTAAACCGAAAGCACCATTTAGAACTAGTAGAACGACGGCTGTCCAGAAAGGGAAAGGTTTAACTTTAAAAATAAATAAATCAAATACAGATTATGTGTATTGGGATAATATAAATGAACTTGTAGATCGACTTCGTCTTTTACTAGCATCTACAGATGCTGGCAATACAGCCCACAACAATGAAATATTATCTATAATTGAGGAATTAAGAGAGGCTAAAGTTATACTATAAATAAGAATTGATAGTTATAAACAAATCAATTGTTGACCAATATCAAACCATGTCTGTTGATAAATTTGGTTGTCATATTTCTAAACGTAACATTGTAAATACAACAACCTTGGAAAACACAATCTTATCAAATGTTGAAAATAAAATTTTATATAGGTTTAAGACAGATGTAAACTATATTGAAAATAAAGTAATTGAACATTTTCAAGGTAATATAGACAACACAAACAAGAGATTAAGTGAAAATGAATCAAACAATAATAATTTTGCAAAGAAAATTAAGTTTTTTGATGAAAAAATTACAAAACATGAAGATAAAATTATACAATTTAATGATAATATAAAAACAATTAATAATTTAAAAACAGAAATAGAACAAATTAAAGATTCCATTAACGATACATCACAAATTGAATCAATCAAAAGAAATCTTCAAAATGACATTAAAACAAAATTTGAAGATTTCACAAACAACGTTTACGAAAGAGTTAATCAAGAAGTAGCTTATTTTAAGAATGTTCATGATAAAATTGACAGAACTGAAAAAATTACAGCGACAGCATTAAATATGCACTTAGTTAACCATAAAAAAGACATAGAAGAACTACAAGATCTAAGACAGCAATTTAATAATACATTAGCTGAAATTACAAAATTAAAATCAGAAAAAAATTTGGAAAGTGAAGATAGAAATAAAAGTAAAAGTGAAATTTCTACAATAAAATCCAGTTTAGAGAAGTTCAATTTAAAATTGGATGAACTTTATGCAAGTCTAGAATCGTTGAAAGAGTATGTAAAAGAAGAAAATAAAAAATTAATGCTGATATTGATGAAATTGATAAGACCATGAACACTCAAATTAGAGAAGTGATAATTAAAAATCAAAAAGAAAGAATTAAACATCTAAGAAATGATATTGATAATATTGTTTCATCTAAGAGTAAACTTATAAAGGATACTCTTAATGGTAAAAAATTATCTGTTGTATCTTTAGAGATTAGACAATATATAGAAAATCTTTCACAAAATATATATACTATCTCTAAAATATTGCATGAAGAACTAACAAAAATAGAAACGGAAGTAGAAAATTCTGCAAATAAAAGAAAAGATTTTCTATTAACAACAGTTAAAGAATATCTAGATAACCTAGTCAAAGAAATAATTAAAATTAATGAAATTTTGATTGAAACTAATAAGGATGAACAAATACAAAAATTAAAAGAATGGACAGAGATGTATAAAAGCTTTGTGGACAACTACTATCAAAACTAAATATCTTTTGGTAAAATTTCAAAAGTATGACAACCATTAAGGAACAAGTAGTTAATGAGTTACATAAACCTGCTAGAAAAAAATTTATGCGAAGAAGGGTAATTGTTAAAGGACTAAATGATCTTTTACAGGCAGATCTAGTAGAAATGCAACCATATTCCAAATTTAACAGGGGTTATAGATATATTTTAGTTGTTATAAATGTGTTTTCAAAATATGTTTGGGCAGAACCTGTAAAAACAAAATCTGGTAAGGATGTTGCCGCAGCAATGAAAACCATATTACATACTTTAAAAACCAACCCACAAAATTTGCAAACGGATAGGGGTACAGAATTTTTCAACCAACATTTCCAAAAACTGATGGAACGATTTAAAATTAATCATTATAGTACGTTTTCCAATTTAAAAGCAAGTGTAGTTGAAAGAGTAAACCGAACATTAAAAACCAGAATGTGGAAAATGTTTAGTTTGCAAGGAAATTATAGATGGCTTAATATTTTACAAGATATCGTTAAGGATTACAACAACACCAAACATTCAACAATTGCAATGAAACCAAACCAAGTAAATAAACAAAATGAAAAGAAGATTTTAAGATCAATCTTTACTCATGCTAAAACAGTAGATTCAAAACTTGCTAAATTTAAAGTTGGAGATCATGTGCGTATTAGCAAGTATCGTGAGGCGTTTTCCAAAGGTTACACTCCAAATTGGTCAAATGAAATATTTAGAATTAAAAAAGTTAAGATGACAAATCCCAGAACATATATAATTGAAGATGAAAGAAATGAGGAAATTCAGGGTGGATTTATGAACAGGAGTTACAGAAAAAGCAAAACACTCCCTGATGTATACCTTGTTGAAAAAATTCTAAGAAGAAAAGGAAACAAAGTTTATGTAAAATGGTTAGGATTGATAAAAAGTTTAATACATGGATTAATAAAAATGATGTTGTATAGTTGTTTTATGTAACTTAAAATAAAATAAAGCACTAATTAATATAATATAGTTTTATTTAATATTTGGTTAAATACAAGTATTAGCAAATCGTGTTAAATACATTTTAGTTCTGTGTTCTTTGCTTAGTATTGGATCAAGAATAAGCTTACAATTATTAATTCGTTTTTCAAAACGAAGTCTATCTAAATAATAAGTTCTAAATTCACATTTTCGTGCTTGTTTATAAGCAAAATTCCACTGCACTAACACATAAAGTTTATTTTTCTCTTCCTGAAAAGTCACCGATTTCTTCATAATATTTTCTTTTGTGTTCATTCCTCTTTAACCTTTTTTCCAATTCCTCCGGGTACAGTATCAGGAACTCCAACATAGTTGACACATTTTCACTGATGGGATTTTGATTGGGTTGCAAAATGCGATAAATATTATCAATAGGATCACCTTCCTGAATTGAAATGCTGGTTTGGAATACATTAAAGTAAAGTGAAAATTCTTGTTTCTTTATAATAGAAATTCTGTAATCCACAACTTCCTTTAATCGCCATAATGTTTCTATAGACTCGTATCCCAAATATATATATCTTGAATATTCTTCTTTAATTTTTATAACAGGAAGACTGTTGACTTTCTCAAAATATAATTTAAAGTTGTCTATATTCAACATGGGTTCGTTAATTTGCTGGGGAAAGCAGAAGTAGTTTTCAATAACTCCCCGATGACTGCAAAAACTATTCCAACTTTCTTCACTTAGAGTTACAGAAAACCCATTTTTTCCACCGATTATAATTTTCGGTGAAAAATCTTGATTACTTATACCAACAATAACAAACTTTGACGAAGATTTATTCAAAAAGAAAATTTTTGAATTTAAAAGATTTTCAAAATTTTTAGAAGACATGGTGAATGAACTAAATAATATTAAGTTCTCCTCTTACTTTAATATTCGAACCCCTACCAATTCATACCCCCACCTATTGATATCGTCAACTCATGCGCATTGCTTATTGTCTATTCACAACAATCTTTTAAATGAAATTAATTAATGAAAGTATAAATTTCCTGTTTGAAATTTATAATAAAAAAAGATAATTAAAATTGTAATATACAAAAATATAGTAAAAGTTAAAAAGAGATTAACGATATTAAAAATGTTATATCCATTATTTTTTTCATTAATAAATTTAGTATAGTTGAATGATTCATTTTGAAAATATGTATATTTTAATTCGGATCTTTCAATCCAATTAGTATCAAAAATGGTTTGATTGGAATAATGATATAAAATTTTAAAAAACCTACTAACATTTTCTCCTTTGTTTATGGGATATATAAAACTAAGCGTATTATTATTGATTAAACCAACTTTCATAAACTGACAATTTTTATCAAGTGTAATGTTTGTTTCATTGGAAAAACATATTTCACAACGGGTTACAGTGGGGGGATAATGAACATAAATAACATTTTGAAATATGAAATAAAGGAGAATAAAATGGGTTTGATGAGCCATTGAAGGAAAGTAAATATTTTATTAAAAATTTATTTAACTACAATTTACTTCCAATCAAGATGGTTACCAAATGATATTTGACAATATCTTTTCTATAGATGAATATAAATACTTAATAGCATAAGAAATATATGTTAAAAAAAAGATGTAAATTAATGAATAATAATATCATCAAAATTACACGTTCCAGTGAATTATTAGATTTTTTGAATTTTTGTTTCTTATTTTTTTGTATTGGCTTAACCATAAACATTCGTTTAAATTACATAATGGAGAAATTTTGTGATGCTCTTCGACAGGACAGTCATCATAGAACCATTCATAAATTTCAGTTCCACAATAGTAACATTTGCATACATCACTATATGAAATATAATAAAAGCCTGCTCCTGCTAATACCTCAGGTTCCAATTTTCCATTCCAGTTTTTAAAAGTAGAAAGTCGATTTTCGTAGGTTTTATAAGTAACATCATCAATATCTTTATCAAAACTTTCCAAACACATCTTAAGAAATGTTAATAAGGAATGAAATATTGTCAAAGGCGTATTCTTTAAGTAGGTATATTTTTCATTAAAAATGCATTAACTCATATAAAAGTATATTATTAATTAAAATTACAACAACTAAAATCAGAATTAATCTAACATATAAAATAATTAAATTAGTCACTACATTCTAAATTCCATTTAACATATAAAACTAAAATACATAAAATATAATTGTTCCTCTAACTCTATAACTAATATGTATACATTATGATAAGTTCTAAAGGAATAATAAATTAATATTAATAAATATATACGATATTTCAAACGTGTAAGGTGTTCGTGTGACCAGATTTGTGCTTTTGTGTTTGACTTTGTTTTCAACTGTTTACAGGTAAATATTTTTTTTTAAATGGATCTAAATACAATCAGAGTGAATCATATTAAATGTTTAAATGTTTAAATTAAAGAAATAATATTAAATTAAATATTATTTAAAAAATATAATTGTTCCTCTAACTCTATAACTAATATCCCCTATAAATTATGATAAGTTCTAAAGGGAATAATAAATTAATATTAATAAATATATATTAGACTGCAACGATATTTCAAACGTGTAAGGTGTTTGTGTAATCAGATTTGTGCTTTTATGTTTGACTTTGTTTCCAACTGTTTACAGGTAAATATTTTTTTTTAAATGGATCTAAATACAATCAGAGTGAATCATATTAAATGTTTAAATGTTTAAATTAAACAAATAATATAAAATTAAATATTATTTAAAAAATATGCTGAGGTCTGGATGATCATCATTCCACTGGTAAAATGAAATATCATGATGACCCCAAGCAATTTGATATCTTTTATTATCTTCAGAATTCAAAGCAATTTTATGTATTAATTCAGTAAAAATTGAATGTAGTCTAGAACGAAAAACATACATGGAGCAAAAAATTTTAGAATTATTTTCTACTACATCTTTATAGTGGATAAAATGCAACTGATTTTTAATAGCATATTTTCTTATACCTTTAGCTTTCTTTAATAAACCATTTTCGGTTTTTACACAGTAAGCTTTTGCTCCGGTACCATAGAAAGCTACAATGGGTTCAGCAGCATATTCATCCTTAAATTTACCAACCACTGATTCTGTTATAGGCATATTATGAATATTATTTGGCAAATAATTGGAAGTGTCAAATTTATGAATATTTCTATGCATATCATGGTAAACATTTTCTGTTGTCACTTCCAGAATAAAAGAATCTGTATCAGTATACAAAAGAGATACGTTATCTTTATACAAAGGTTTTAAAAAATTATAAAAAAAATCGTACATGACAGTTTTTGATATGTCTAAAATACAAAATCCAACGTATATTGGTTTATTATAAGTAACTAGTATTTTTTTCATTTGAATAGCGACTAAGTTTTCTGAGAAAATTGTTAAGTCCTTGAAATATGGCTTTGCTATTAAATTTTCAGCTCCATCTTTTCTTTTATTTTTTTCCCATTCGGTAACAAGTCTTACATCGACTCTCCTATCCACATTTTCCATTGTTTTTCCATATATACTATTATTTGCTAATTTGTATGTGTGGCGATCAAATTCATTTTTCGATTGATTTCGTAGTGTGGTATTTAAGTCTATAAATTTTTTTAACCAAGCAGATTGTGAAAATTGTATAACTCTATGAATTTTAGAAATCTTAAGTCCATTTTGTAGACATTGTTTTAATAATTGGTAATGAATTACATATTTTGACTTATTGTTTAAATTTGGTATTAATTTTGTAGATTTTGAATTAGGTGGTTTATAATTTTCAGGGCAAAAAGGAAAATCATTATGAGTGTCGTGGAGACTTTCAGGATATTCCAGATCAACCTCTAGAACATATCCTTTGCTAGATGTATTAGAAATTGAAAAAATATCTAGATTTTTTATTTCTTTTTCGGTTAGCCATACAAAATCACCTGTTGGCAGATATTGGGACATAGCAAAACCATATAAATTTGTTGCATCATAGTACATTATATATTTATTAGGTTTTGTTGCATCAAAATTTGATAGAAAAGGATTGTTTGCCTCTGATTTCCGTGTTATGCATGAACTTACCCCACCACGAACGCTATTTTTGAAAAAATGCAACATATCCGGATCTGTTAATAATTCCAGTTCGATGCCTGTATAGCGTAAACACGCTTCCCATGATAAGCCGGGAAATGTGTAGAAGTGTGCAGGATCTAGTTTATATGTTGACAAACATGTTTTTCGAAAATTTTCGAAAATATCAGCTAAAAGTAAAGTATCTGATAGCAAATATATGTCTGAATAATTTCCTATACTTTCACATTCGAAAAGATCCCAAACTTTAAGAGCTCTTTGGTATTCCTCATCAGTAATATGTTCATCTGTTAAACTATTAAAAAACTGATCTTTTTTAGGTAAAGCAGTTTCCTCTAATTTTTCAAAACTGTCAATATAACTATATGGAAATACACCTTTTTGACGAATAAGTTTAAATTGTTCCTCATCTTCGAAAATCTTTTTTATTTCTTTACATTGCTCATCTTTTAAAGTATCTGCTAAATTAGATAAAGAAAATGATAAGAATTGAAAGGAGTCGATAAATCTCAATGATAAATTTCTTTTTTTTAAATTTTTTGTATGTTGATCAAAATAATTATCTACGAGAATGTGTTTTTCAAAAGAAATATATTTCTCTTTATTTTGGGCAATTACTGATAGTTGTTCTTTATTTGAACACATAGTCTTTATAAATAGGTGGCTGTCGTAATTACGTAAGTTGTGCATTATAACTGGAATAAAATTAGGAATTTTAAAATTTATATTACATAAAGAGTGAGCCGGCCCTCTATAGTTGCCTGTAATGTGACAATGATCGGCAACTTTATCCCCTAAAAGCGGTTTTTCACAAATATGACAGTTTGTGGAATTATTATGTGTAGTTTGTTCTAATTCGGATAAAGTATTCATCTTTTTAGGATTTTTTAGAAAAGTGTGATATAAATTTAATACATCTCGTTCTAGATAATTTATAAAAACTTGTTCGCTATTCAAACCTCTATATTTTTCAAACTTAGAATATTCATCATCAAATGAACATTTGATGTAATACGCAAAAGAGTATGGAATATGTTCAAATTTTTTTAATGTATATGAATTATTTGGATTTTCTACATCATAATTCTCATTCAAAGGTTTTAAAATACATTCAAAATCTGCATATACTATAAAAGGAACTTTCATTTGCTTTTGATAATTTATATATTTTAATGTGTTTTCATATGCTACATTTCCATATTTGTCTTTAAATAATTCTTTAGAAGGTAAATTAATTCTAACATGATCACAATCATAACTATTATGATACTGTAATTTTTGTTCTGTATCAAAGTATTGAAGACATCCTTCACACAAATATTTTCTTCCATTGTGTTTACTAAGTTGTTTAGAAATTAATTTAGAAAGATCGGAAATGTAGCAATAATGAAAATTTCCATCATCATCATTTATTAGTAACAAATTAACATGAATATTTTTTCTATCACTAGAAAAATGTAGAGGACCAATTATTTCATATTCTTCATTATTAGAAATTTTATTATAATATTTTTCTAAACCGTACACATTGATAGAAATATTGTTTTGATTTTCAAAATTTTTAATGTCTTTTAATGATATTGGAAAATCAATACCTGTAGTGTTCAAAACTGTTGAATAGTGTGGGTATGATGATGTTTGAAAATCAACACCTGTTGGAGGATGAAGGGCTGCAACTACGGACCATGCGAAGCAGTAGTCATCGTTATTTCTTATGTTGACGACAGCTTGACGTCGTACTATTACAGGAGGAAGTTCAATAAATGATGATGCTCTCAAAGGGTTGAATTTGTTGATGTTAATTTCCAAAAAAAGAAGATTTAGTAAAATCCATCCTGAAACAAAAAATAAAATTAATGTATTATGTTACATTTATATTAAAAATATAACACTTACCAGAGTCCCTTTCTGCGAATTCATCAGCCTTGTTGTCAATAATTGTTAAAAAATCTTCTATCAAATCCTTTGTTGCACTGCTGTTACAAATTACTTTAAATGGAGTGTTGAACGATTTGACATCATGATTATCGCTACTGGGGTTATAGTAATATCCAAAAAGTTCTATATTGATTTTAATACAAGTATGTTTTTTCAGTTGATTGTCAAACACCCGTAGAATCTTTTGTTCCAATATTTTAAAATAGTTTTTAACATTTAAAATATTTTCTTCGGTAGATAATCTGTAGGATATTATCCTTTCCTTGAAAGCTGATTTTATTACTTGAATTCCTTTTTCCTCCAACGTTTTACAGTTGTTTTTGTGACTGTTTGAACGCAGATGACCAACCCACAAATTTTGTAAAATATGTTCTTTACATTCTGAACAATATTTTTCTATAAATGAAATTATTTTGTTAGTTTATAAAATTATACAATGGGAATGTCTTACTTTTTTCTTCAGCTGCTGACCTCCCCAAAAAACGGTTTAGAAAAGAAGACTTTTTGCACGCATTCTTTAAGTGACGAGTTAAATTATCTTTACGACTGAACGCTTTTTGACAAGATGAACATGTGAACATGTTTCGATTTAATTCTGTAATATAAGATTATGTTGTATATTTGAATATTTAAAAGGTTATGAATAAATTTTGGAAAGAAGAAGGTAAAAAATATTTACCTGTAAACAGTCGAGAATTATTAAAACACGAAACCACACAAACACCTTGCAAGCTCAATCGTAGTGAGAAATATTGTTGCAGTCTGGCGGTAAAAGCAGGTTCTTTTATAGTTGGTTCGTGACTAAGGATGTTCAATTTAAATCGATTCTGCAGAAAATCGATCTTTTGTCATGCGATTCCCGATTTTTTTACAAAAATCTCTCTATAAAAGAAAATATTTATAAGACTAACATTGTAAAACAGTGAGAAAAAGTCTTACCCTTTTTTCAGCAGACTTTCCAAGCCATCGGTTGAAAAAACTTGACTTGCTACAGGCAGTCCTCATATGGCGTAATAGATTATCTTTACGATTAAAAGATTTAACACAAGATGTACAATTGAATATGTTGATATTTCAGTTCTACAAAAGAATTCTATGTTTTAACTTATATTATTAAAATATTATTATGTTGTATCTATGACCTAATCATGAAAGAAATTTGGAAATTGTATATTATATTGGGCAGTTAGTTGGTTTTGTGATTTTGTGTTTGTTGGTGTAGTTTGTCTATTTTTTTAATTTTACTCTAGTTACTGTTCATGTATCCATGATGAATTAAATTTAGACAGTCAGTTTTGGTAGTGTGTTTGTTGTCTGTTTTGTGGTTTATCTGTTTGTTAGCGGTGTAGTTTGTCTATTTTTTAATTTTACTCTAGTTACTGTTCATGTATCCATGATGAATTAAATTTAGACAGTCAGTTTTGGTAGTGTGTTTGTTGTCTGTTTTGTGGTTTATCTGTTTGTTAGCGGTGTAGTTTGTCTATTTTTTAATTTTACTCTAGTTACTGTTCATGTATCCATGATGAATTAAATTTAGACAGTCAGTTTTGGTAGTGTGTTTGTTGTCTGTTTTGTGGTTTATCTGTTTGTTTGTATAGTTTGTCTATTTTTTAATTTTACTCTAGTTACTGTTCATGTATCCATGATGAATTAAATTTAGACAGTCAGTTTTGGTAGTGTGTTTGTTGTCTGTTTTGTGGTTTATCTGTTTGTTAGCGGTGTAGTTTGTCTATTTTTTAATTTTACTCTAGTTACTGTTCATGTATCCATGGTGAATTAAATTTAGACAGTCAGTTTTGGTAGTGTGTTTGTTGTCTGTTTTGTGGTTTATCTGTTTGTTTGTATAGTTTGTCAATTTTTTTAATTTTACTCTAGTTACTGTTCATGTATCCATGATGAATTAAATTTAGACAGTCAGTTTTGGTAGTGTGTTTGTTGTCTGTTTTGTGGTTTATCTGTTTGTTAGCGGTGAGTTTGTCTATTTTTTTAATTTTACTCTAGTTACTGTTCATGTATCCATGATGAATTAAATTTAGACAGTCAGTTTTGGTAGTGTGTTTGTTGTCTGTTTTGTGGTTTATCTGTTTGTTAGCCGTGTTGTTTGTTTATTTTTATTGTTGAGTGTTTGTTGGTTATATTTTTTTACTATTTATGTGAATTAAATTATTTAAACAGACAGTTTTCTTAGCGTCTTTGTTGTCTGTTTTGTGGTTTATCTGTTTGTTTGTATAGTTTGTCTATTTTAATTTTACTGTAGTTAATGTTTAGTTGTGTTTTTGTATTGTTTATTTGTCCATAGTGATTTACTGACTATTTTTATCTATCTTTTGTTAATCTATTTACCTGGGTGTTTTTATAATGCTATTTTAATATTAATAACGAGTTAAATTTTGAAGAATATTATTTGTGTAAAAATATAATTAAGAACTGGACAAGTTTTTGAATAGAAAGTCTTAATTTTATTAGATTAATATGTAAAACTATAACTTACCAAAACTATAGATATTAACTTTCAACGACTTCTAACCTAATCTTAACTTTAACTGACTAATCGTTTTTAACTGACTGAACGTCTTTTGCAAGCAAGCACACCAAGCAACTGGTCTGTTTTCAGGTCTGGCAGGTCTGCTTCCAAAGCTAACAGGTTGACCCTGAGATCGTTGAACCTATATGTCTTCGCGGTACTGGTTTTCTTTTTTAAATTTTATATTAGAGATGAGCAATGATTTGAAATATCGATAAAATGTGGTTATATTTAATAATAATATATTAAACTGGTTGTGTTGTTGTTTTCTAATGTGTGTTTAGAATTAAATGAAATATTTTATTGATGGAAACATTGGATCTCTGGATCTCTAGAACTTTTTTTAAATGATATTATCTGTCAAATCAATAGAATTTTTACATGATGTGAAATAAAACTGCAAATATTTATAGTCACATTTATTTTAATCCCCTTTTTATACTCTGGACAAAGTAATATCTAATTATATCTTTTCGAAACTGCACTAAATATTTATAATGTAAACCACATAGTGGACACTTAGTTGTCATTTTTGCATCATAATGTACATCATTCCATGTTAATATACAGTTTAAGCAAAAAAAGTGTGAACATGTATTTGGCACACAAGTTTCGTAGCAATCAACCATGTCTTGACAAATAGCACAAAACTGTCGCTTAATTTCCTCTACATTTTCTTTTGTATTTTGTTCGCAGGTTCTAGATTCTTCTTCTTCCCTAGGAGGAGATTGTAATACACTAAGTATAGATTGGTGTTGAACAGTAAAACTCGTCTGTTGAGAGAGGGTTTGTAAATTATTTTCGTCGGTCATTCTGAACTAATACTTACTTTTGGATATTTTACTATATATGATTGGATATTGATATAGTGGGGGTAGAAATAAGTGGGGATAAGAATATCTTCGTTTCTCTATATCACCCCCTCTTTGAAGAAAAAGTAGGAATGAATCGACTTGTTATATATGGATCGATAGTTATTATCTAAATAGATAGACATTTTTAATATAATGAAATATCGAAAAGTAGTATATCGATATTTCTGTACGTCCCTATAAGCTAAGAGTTCAATGCCGTAGAATAACGGTACAAGGAGGGAAAATCACAGAAATGAGGAGGAGGGTCTCTCATATATTACCTACTTCACTATTAACTCCTATTGAGTTAAACGAATTTAAGTAATGTCGAAGAAAAAAAGTTTTTCAATAAAAGATTGTTTCGAGTAAACAAAAATCAGTTTGTTGCACAACGAAGTAAAAATTTTAAACTTTCGTAGGTAGCTAAGTAAATTTTAAATCCATATGGATAAAAGACTAAATTAAAAAATAAAGGAATTGTTTTGATTTTCGCTTTTTAAAACAATATATATTTATTTTTGGGAATTTGGGCCAAAGTCTGCATTTTTTTTGTTACACAAGGCTTTCATTTCATGCCATACCTGTAATAGCTCTGGATTCTATAACGTCATTTTTTAACAGAAAAAATTTACCCTATCTTTTGGTGCAGACTTTATAACATGCCATTTTTAGCCATACCAATAGGTATGGTAGGCTATTAAGATCGGCAAAAAAAAAGTTTTTTTAATTTCACTCAAAATGAGTTATTTGGGTCATAAATGACCTTAAATACAAAATATTTTCATGGTGTCTGTCCGTCTGTAACACGATAACTCAAAAACCGCTAAACCGATTTTAACCAAATTTGGCTCAAAAATACTGTGGCACCCGAGAATCTGACCATTAGTTTTTGGTGGGGGTGAAAAGTTATATAATAATATCGCCATATTGTTTTTTCTCATGCTGACATAAATGTGAGAAAATTTTATCCAGTTTGTATGTTAATGGAAATTCTTGCTTTGCTTTATCATCACCATCACAAATGATTAATTCGACGCGAACGAAGTCGCTGGTACACGCTGTGTATGTGGGGAGGCAATGTGCACAATTTAAAATTATTTTGAAATATACAGTGTTTCAGAGCTAAGATCCATATCAAAGTTATATTTTTTTTTATGGAACACCGGGTATTTTATTTAATTTTTGGATTCTTGAGTCCAAAAAAAGGCATTTATTATAAGTGTTAAATATGTTTAATACCTTTGGTTTTTGAGATATTTAATGATATTTAAATTTGCAAGCTACAATAGAATAAATTATTAACACGCTGTACATTACTTTTCAGAATTCATTCTTGTATTAAAGGCAGAGAAATAAACTTTACTGAAAAATGTTATTGCTTCCTGAAATTTATACAGGGGTATTAAAAATTGCTGACCTCTTTTAAGCATTTATTTTACATAAAAATTTTGTTATTTCGTATACAACAGCCTGTATTTTTTAAATAAATCGAAGCAGATTCAAACGTTTTTTCAAACTATATTAGGGTTTCCTATACCTATCTAGCTCAGATTTTGATTAAAGATCAATTTTTCAAAAAAATTGCAACTAAGAAGGGTAGTGTCGTCATGGCAAGTTTCTGATGACAGTTAGTAGCTATTTTCAAAATCGAAATTACTTTATAGACCTATTTAAATTTATACCTGTAAATTTATATTTAATTTACCTACAATAGTTTGATAAATAATATTTATTAAATATGTATTTATTATTCTATCAAGAAAAATGAAGCAGTTCTTTGATTTATTTTACGATACCTTGTAGATATATGGATTTTCTATAAAAGAGCCAATTACGACAAATTCATTTTCTTCACTTCCAATGACAGGTTTCTGTCTAATAGGTTTTTTATAAACCACACTACCAGCTCTGCGAAATAAGACATGTAGTTTTTCAAATGAACGCTTTTCGGGAAGATTCCTATTTGGATATCCTTGAGCATAAGTCCTTGAGGACAAGAAGCAATTTTCCTCACAAAATAAAATCACTAGTAACATATCAATTCGTTCCGCCAGCTGATACTGCTTTATTTTTCTTTATAAACTAATGAATACTTACTTATTAAACTATTGTAGGCAAATCTAAGTAAACGGTTATAAATTATAAATAATAATGTCCATAAACTAATATCGACTTTAAAAATAGTTACTAACTGTCACTAGAAAATTGCCATGGCGACACCAGCCATCTTGATTGCGATTTTATTTAAAAATCGCTTTTTATTCAAAATCTGAGCTAGATAGGTATAGGAAACCCTAATATAGTTTGAAAGAACATTTAAATCTGCTTCGATTTATTTAAAAAAAACAGGGTGTTGTATTTGAAATAACGAAGTTTTTATATAAAATATATCCTTAAAATAGATTAGCAATTTTTAATATCCCTGTATAAATTTAAGGAAGCAATACCATTTTCAGTAAAGTTTATTTCTCTACCTTTAAACTCAGCACAAGAATTAATTCTGCAAAGTAATGTACAAGGTGTTAATAACCTATTCTATTGTAGCATGCAAATTTAAATATCTTTAGATATCTCAAAAACCAAACATTTTAAAAATGTTAAACCCTTATAATAAATGTTTTTTTTGGGCAGAGGAAACCAAAAATGAAATAAAATACCGGGTGTTCCACAAGAAAAAATACAACTTTGGTATGGATCTTAGTTCTAAAACACCCTGTATATTTCAAAATAATTTTAAATTGTGCAGATTGCTACCCCACATATACCCATAAAATATTTTGTTTCTACATCTTTCCGTTTTCGTATAATCAACCGAGGCGAATGAGGTGCGCCACCCTGAATATTTGTATTTTTAATTCAATATTTTAAGTATTTTTTCTCAAATTAACCCTTTCAGTCACGAGTTTTTTTAAAGAGATAAAAATTTTTATTTACCATTTTTAACTTACTTAATTTTTTTTAAAGATTTTTAAAAATATTTAGATACTGGAAAAAAAAATTTTTTTCAAAAAAATCGATGTTCGTTTTAACGAACATGATGACACAACTTATGTAAAAAAAATCCGGGTAATAAAAAAGCTTTATTTGCAATGAAAACTAACAAAACAGTTGTGTTCACGATTTATGCATAGATGAATATTACATTTGCTGGAGGGAAAATGAGTTTTTTTTAAACAGCTTCCATTTTTGCATCTTGCTCCATCCTTGATCAAAAAGTGGTAGATGACCCACTTGGTCATAACGAATATCATCAATTGGTCGGTTTTCAACCTTCTCCTTCTTCGCACATGGAGGAGTCGATGAAGCAGTATTTCTTCTTGATCTTCATCAGAGTCAATATGGCGACATGTCGGAGGATTGATTGATTTAATTCGCTAACCAGACGTGTCTCAATTTTTAGTTTTTCCATAATGGAAATACTTGTTCTATGAGCCGTCCATGGTATTCGCAGCAGCCGTCGATATACCTAGCCACATCTCCAAGGTGTTTATTCTTTGCTTATCACTTGCACGCCGTTATATATCAACTGTATTCCTTTCTATGTTAAAACATGTCAAACACACTAGCAATATATTTGTATAACAAAACCTGTTAGCCGGAGAGCTGGCGACATATTTAGAGAACATATTTTAGGCAAGTTAGAATAACAAAAAAAAATAAAGTTTAATAACTTGTGAACCCAGAATCCTAAGTCTGGCTGGGGGGTTGGGAGTATTTTGCTACTGCGCAACCCATAACATTTGCAAAAAAATAAATCCAAAAAACATTCTTTAGGCAACTTGAAATTTGTTTATTCTTAAATTTTAGCATCTATTTCACCTAGAAATAAGTATGCCAGACTTTTTTTCGGTTTCATTTCAATTATTTGCAGGCTTTTAATTCAGAGATTATTTTGTTGGAATTCAGTTACCACGTACAAATATGTATTTATAAATAAAATATTGATGTGCATAGTGTAAATAGTTTAGAATAATTACTGCAAATAAATATTTTAGTAACTACTAATTTCGCTACTAACTACTAAATCACAATGGATAAAAAACATTTAAGTTGTGTAATTTGTAAAAAGTTACTAGTGACAAAGTTATTGTTGTTGATGAAGGCAGACTACTAAAATGCAAAGAATTTTTAAAACTGCGCCGTGGTTTAAAATTTAAAGAAGTGGTTTTACCAGAAAACATAGTCCCGACAAAAGGGTACCATGTACAGGGTGGGTCAAATTCGACGCTTTTAAATGGAAACACCATTTTCTATAGGAGATAGACGAAAACTAATATCGATGTCTGGAGCTCAATTTTCATCAAAAACATGATGGTGAAAACCGCACATCGATATCTGTTACCGCTTCGGAGTTACGGGGTGTTTTTCTGAAATGTGCATTTTTAACAAATCGCTGTAACTTTTTTGCTATGGAAAATTTTGTATTTCTATAAAAACATTTCCAAAGCACCTTTTTACGTAGAATTTAATTGTTTAAGTATAATCTTTTTAAAATTAATAATTTAAGAGTTATCAACAGAAAAATTGATTTTTTATTTGGGAAACCCTCTATATTTTTGATTAACTGAAAAGAATTTAAAATTACCTTTCCAAAATATATAGCACACTTGATATTTTGTTATAATCTCTTTCGAAATACAGAATTTTTAAAAGTTCGCCACTTTTAACTAGGATGCTTTGGACCCCTTATTAATGATATGCCCTTAATGGAACTCGAAAACATATTTTTCCAGCAAGACGACGCACCGCCTCTGAACGCTGAAGCTATCAGCAAATTTTTGATCCCAGGATTTTTGATCCCAAGATCCCAGCCGTTGGCCATCGAGGCCGCCTGACTTAGTGCCCAAGGATTTAATCCTATGGATATATTTGCCGAAGAATAAAGGGTTACTTATTCTTCCGTATAATCTAGACAAGAATTAGAAATACTTAGTAGTTATGAGAGGGTATATTTCTCCCCCACTGAGTTACAGAATTCCGCGAGAAATGTTCAAAAACTGCCCCGTCTGTCCATAACAGAAGACGGTCGCTGCTGTCGAACACCTTAGCAAAATTTTGTGTCTTGGTTTGCTATTTGTTTTTATTGTTGTTAGATATAGTTTAAATGTGTTGATGTTGGTTAAATATAGTTTAAATTGTTATAAAATTCTGCATCTCTCATAGCAAATATTATTTTCGTTTTAATTGATGCTCACAGCTAGAATTTTTTGCATTACAGTCGGTGCCGTTCAAAGCCTACTTATTTAAATCGGGCGAATTTTTATATACTCTATATCTCGAAGAGGAATCGAGCAAAATATCAAGTGTGTTATATTTTTGGAAGGGTAATTTTAAATTATTTTCAATAACTTAAAAATATACAGGGTGTCCCATATAAAAAATATTTTTTTTTGTTGATAATTCTTAAATTATTAATTTAAAAGAAATATACTTAAACCATTAAATTCTACGTAAAAAGGTGCTTCGGAAATGTTTTCATAAAAATACAAAATTTTCCATAGCAAAAAAGTTACAGAGACTTGTTAAAAATGCACGTTTTTGAAAAACACCCCGTAACTCCGAAACGGTAACGGTGCAGTTTTCACCATCATGTTTGTGACAAAAATTGAGCTCCAGACCCCGATATTAGTTTTTGTCTATCTCCTATAGAAACGGGTGTTTCCATTTAAAAGCGTCGAATTTGACCCACCCTGTACAGTGCTAAAAAAAAATAAGTATTCTGGTATTTTATTAAAGTACCATTGTTAATCTTTCTAAATATGTAGATTCAAAAGTAAGTAAAAGTGCTTTACTTTTATGCTTAGGCGTTAAAATGACTTTTTTTATATTGTCAATCAGGTCACATAAATTAATAATATGTCACAAAAGTGTCATAATAATTATACGTTATAAGTGTCATAAATAATTATAATAAAAGTGTGAAATAATATATGTCACAAAAGTATAATAATAATTATACTTTTGTGACGTTTGAAAAAAATATATTTTGTATTATGCTAATTTTTAAATAATTATTCATCTTTTTATTCTTTCAGATACAAAATACTTAAATTAAAAAGTCTTCTTATTGAAAGGATTTCAATCACACATTTTTATTAAAAAATGTTTCTTTTTATCTATTCAATATTAGTTAGTTTTTTTTAATTTTTACGACTCCAAAATGCTGTTACGTCAGCCGCATCGGCTGCCGACGGGTCTCAATAAACTTTCTTTCTCGCGCTTATAGTAGACCGAGAGCTGGCTACATAAAATACCTTTTCATCGTTACATGGCTAATTTTTTGTGTGAAGTATCCTTTTGTGTAGCCATTATGAAATAGTCATGTCTGCCAGCGCGATCCCGGGGCTTAAAGCGGGGGCGGCCAATCGAAAGGGTGAAATTTTGACACTAAAAATTTTATAAGGTACACGAGTTATAATTGCCAAATAGCTTTTATTTATTATTAGAAAACGTGTAAAATTGTTGACAGACATTTTTCTCGTGGCTGAAATGCCGGCAGACAACGCGAAAGGGGCATAGAATTTTGACAAAAGAAAATCATCGCATACATGCATGTCGGTTGGTGGAATGTCATGTTTCTTGTTAATTAATTTAAAAAGCCGTATGTGTGCAAAAGGGCAGACAAAAAAATCGTTATTGAAATAATAAAAATATATATATTTATAAAATAATCGTATATTATATGATTTATCTATACTTAAATGGATGAGGCGACCAGTAGCGTTCCCTGGATAAAGCGCTAGAGAAATATCGCGCTTTTGATAACTGTCTGCAGCTGATTGAGCCACGATCTTTTTGTCTGTCCTTTTGCATACGGCTTTTAAAATAAATAAATATGATATTTCACTAATCGGCATCCAAATATGCCATAATTTTTGTCATTCTTCAAATTTCATTTTTTAATAATTTTTAAAATTTCATACCTCTTTCGCGTTGTCTGTCGGCATTTTAGCGACTAGAAAAATATCTGCCAACAATTTTCCACTTTTCTTAATAACAAATAAAAGCTATTTTCGCAATTATAACTCATGTATCTTATAATATTTTTAGTTCGCTTTAAGCCCCGGGATCGCGCTGGCAGACATGACTATTTCATAATGGCTACATAAAAGGATACTTCACACAAAAAATTAGCTATGTAACGATGATAAGGTTTTTTATGTAGCCAGCTCTTAAACTATAGATACTCATAAGACTTTCTTATCGCGCTCATTTAAAATCTTTATTCGCGTCAGGCAAGTATTAAATCCCATTGAATTCGTTTAGCAATTAACACATATTTTTTAATATCATCTAATAAACACGCTGTAAAAAATTTAGAATGCCTAAAGTATGTTTTCCAGGTATAATAATTAAACATATTTGGAATGATCGGGTTACACTCTAAACCCGAAAAAAAAAAGTCTGGCATACTTATTTCTAGGTTAAATAGATGCTAAAATTTAAGAATAAATAAATTTCAAGTTGCCTAAAGAATGTTTTTTGGATTTATTTTTTTGCAAATGTTATGGGTTGCGCAGTAGCGAAATACCCCCAACCCCCCAGCCAGACTTAGGATTCTGGGTTCACCAGTTAATAAACTATACACTTTTAGTTATTCTTGCTTGCCTAAAATATGTTCTCTAAATATGTCCTCTGCTCTTAGGCTATGTAAGGACAGGGAAATAAGCCCACTGTAAACTTATTTAATTCTAATTACTTCTAAGAAGTGATAAGCATTTATGTATAACTTTACCGACTACTATATGAACGTACATTTTTTAATAGCCCATTTTGGCCCATTTTATTTGTAGGTATGGCCGGCCGTAGCTCCAGCGGTAGTGTATCGATCTGCGGAGCGGAAGGTACTGGGTTCGATCCCCAGCCACTACGGTCGCTTTATTTATTTAAAGAAAAATATTTATTTATTTAAATAGAGCGACCAACGAGCCGCCACCTCAAGCAAGGCAATGGCAAACCACCTTGAGTATATTTGCCTTGTACAGCCTCTCAAATAGTGCCGTTTGGATTCGGCGATAAACTGTAGGTCCAGTGTACTTGTGAAACACTGATGACACACATTACAGGTACATGCGAGAGGTAGCCGACGCTCTATATAGAGTATGGCACTCCAAGAAAAAGAAGATCAAGCGAAAATTATTTTTTAGAAAAAATAATTTTTTTTAGAAAATTATTTTTTTTTAGAAAAATACCATTCTTTATTTCTCCATAATATTAATAATCCCGATAATTTTTTTGCTAGAATTCATATTGTTTTATTAATATCTGAATTTTTTCAAAAAATATTCCTATTGATTTAACTTTTCTGGGTCTTTTGGTTGTACTACGATTATAATTTAATTGAAACAATACTTGGAAATCATTAGTGGCACTTTTAACTCTACTGCTATATATTTTTTCAGCATGACATAAAATAGTTTGACATCAAATAATGACAATGTCATCGAGAAATTATTTTACGTATAGAATTCAAAACACATAATTTGAAAAACATATGGCCAGTGACTCTACAACAAGTATTCCTATAAATGAGCAGAGTGATTTATCAAACTGGTCAACAGATGTTGAAAACAGAAAAAAAGCAAATGTTAAAACGATTCAAAATAAATTACCTCTTTTAAGTAATAAGAAGAATGATGTAGAATTGCCTAAGAAAAAGAAAAAAGTCGTTTCCGTGTGCCTTACTCATTGCAGATATGAAATTATACGAAAAGTGGCCCAGAAATTTGAATATAAAGAAGTGTCGGAGGGTGAAAACTGGAATTTGTATTGGACTGATCTATCTATAACAGTGGAGAGATGCAAAGATATGAAAAGATTCCAAAAGATTAACCATTTTCCAGGAATGCTAGAAATATGTAGAAAAGATCTCCTAGCCCGTAATTTAAATCGAATGCAAAGACTCTTTCCACGTGACTACAATTTCTTTCCTAAAACGTGGTGCTTTCCTGCCGACTTAGGTGAAGCTATAACTTACGCTAAACTTCGTAAAAACAAAACGTTTATATTAAAACCCGACGCTGGTAGTCAAGGTAGGGGCATAATTATAACTAAATCGCTAAAAGAAATTAGACCTTCTGATAGGGGAATATGTCAAGTGTATATTTCAAAACCCTGTTTAATTGATGGATACAAGTTCGATTTAAGAGTTTATACTTTGATAACAAGTTGTGAGCCCCTCAGGATTTATATTTATAAAGAAGGTTTAGTGCGTTTTGCAACCAGTGAGTATAAAGAACCTAATGGTGTAAATATTACGAATGTTTTTATGCATTTGACTAATTATGCAGTAAATAAACATAGTAGAACCTACAACCAAGAACTAGATGGTTCGGGAAGCAAAAGAAAACTTTCCTGGTTCAATAGTTATATGAGAAGCCTAAATTACGACATCGATACACTTTGGTGTAAAATCGATGATGTGATAATTAAAACAGTACTAAGCGCATATCCAGTATTGAAACATAGTTATTTGGCCTGTTTCCCAAATCATGATGTATTTCCTGCTTGTTGCGAACTTCTAGGAATCGATATTATGTTGGATAAGAAGATGAATCCGTTGATATTAGAAGTAAATCACTCTCCAAGTTTTCATACAGATACTATATTAGATTCTGAAGTCAAAGAAGCTCTATTAAGCGATATGTTTGCTATGATGAATTTAGAACGATGTAACAAAAGAAGAATAATGCGAGAAGACAGAAAAAGAATAAGAGAGCGACTACTTCACGGCCACAAAGAAAAAGAATATCAATCAGCGACCGATGTAAAGTGTTTTGCAGAATATTTCAAAAACGAAGTTTCTAATAAAGGAGGATTTAGGTTAGTGTATCCATCTGGCAACTCGGAACATGCATATGGAAAATATTTTGATCAGGGACAAAATACTTTGTATTGCGATACTGCTTCTAGTAGAGCTCGAGAAGCGGCTCAAAATGCATTAAGAGATGAAATGCAGCTTAAAGCTAAGCTAGAAGCAGCTAAAAGAATACCTCCAACGATTAAGCACGATTCACGGTCACAATCGTTATCGCAGTCTACTACTAGTAGATCTGTATCAAGGAGTAGCAAAATCATTTCGCCCGTGTCATCTGTCATGACGAAGTCTGTAGCCCATAGAAATTCATTTGATCCCCAGCCAATCAATGAGTCAGAAGAAAAAGAGAGGTTAAAAGGTATGGCGCAAAGAGATTATCTACTACGAAGCCATGGCATTTTAGAAGTTATTTATTTTTCAATGAAAAGAAATAAAGTTTTACGCGCACATGATGATAGAAAATATGCCATTTTCGAAAAAATTAGAAACGCAAGTCAAGTGATAAATAAACAGAAAGAAAGAGCACCTACAATTACGGACATGTTAGAAGACATAAAAGAACTTAAACATCAAGGAGCTGGAGAGACTGCTGAAAATAAGAAACACGTATTTAATAATACGAATCATACGTTAATGGCTCCTGTGGGAAAAGAAATAATTAGGGAATGGGCTAAGTTAAATAAAACTACCACATTAAATCATGTATACACCGAAGTTGACAATAAAGGCAATGTGAAGTATTCTAGATTTGGCTCTAGCATAAAACTGTGATATGTATGTTGCTTTAATTTGAAATAGAAATTACTCAGTATATATTTATTTTTATTATTATTTTACGTTGATAATATTAGATAAAATATCTATAGAGGTATCCATTTTAGAACAATAAGAAGTACTTACAAAAGATGTGTGAATTAAATTAAAATATTTTTGTAGAATATAAGTTTTGACATTTATTAGCCGACCATACCAATAGGTATGGTAGGCTCTTAGGATCGGCAAAAAAAAAGTTTTTTTAATTTCACTCAAAATGAGTTACTTGGATCATAAATGACCTAAATACAAAATATTTTCATGGTGTCTGTCTGTCTGTCTGTCCGTCTGTAACACGATAACTCAAAAACCGCTGAACCGATTTTAACCAATTTTGGCACAAAAATACTGTGGCACCCGAAAATCTGGCCATTAGTTGTTGGTGGGGGTAGGGGGTTGGTAAGGGGGTATGGGAGGGTGTTAAAAAATTAAAAAAATCGTAACTTCAAAATTACAGTAGCCAACAAAATTTGTAATAACATCAAAATCAGTCAAAGTCGCAGTTTTCGAGATATTAACATATTTTAGTATGGGCGGCTATACGTGCCTCCCGGCGCCAATTTATTTTTTTTTCATCTATCATACACTGAAAAAAAATATAAGTAATTTTACAAAAAAAAATATTGATACATTAGAGTATTTTTAATAAGAAATTTGTAAAAATAAGATATTATTGCACACTTTCACAGAAAAATAGTTTATAAATCATTATTACTAAACGATATTATTTTCACAATGGTGTTTGTGAGTTTAAAAATTAAATTTAAATCAGAAATACAATTGTGTAAAACCATACAAATCTCTCTAGACATATCGAGAGACATATTCACAAAATTTATCTTAATATATTTAGTAAAAAATGACGCCACGTCACGTGACTTCTTGTGAAACTGATATGCGTATTAAGTAATAGATTGAAAACGAGGAAAAACGAAGCACACTGTAAATCAGCAATTTTTGGAACAGGTGGTAGTCTTACTGCGTGTATTTTTTAGTGTTTTTATAATTTCAGGGTAAGTATATTATATTAATTATTATGTTTATATGTAGTTTCTGTAAATATAAAACCAGCTCTCTTAGAAAACACAATCTTCATTTATTATAATTATCTGCATTTTAATTTTAGCGATTTTTTATGTAAATTCAGGCTGTGTTTCGGAGGACAAATTTAATAGAGGACCAGAGTAGAGAACTCTATACATCAATAGTCTCTCTAAGCTGTTAAGTGTTTTGATTAGATACCTTTTTCTTGCATGTTTTTTATTTTGTATCTAATGGCAGTTTTGTTCCTATTTTGGTCATATGCACAGAATTTCAGTAAGGTTCTTCTAGAACAGAATAGATGGCAATGAGTATCTTACATACATAAGTTCTATTTTGAGACTTTTTATTAACCTTTATAATAAATGTTATAATTATTATAAACACGTGTTTTATTAAATTTATTAATATTTACCTACGCTTTGTGAATTTACAAAAGTAATTGTAAATTCACAACAATAAACTGTTTTAATTTGTTGTTCCTCTATAGTAATATTACAAGAAGTTGGCAATTTTAAAAGATAAATTTACAACGAATAAGTAATTTACTATGAGATACACATTTTTAAATAAATTGACAAGGAATATTGAATATTGGTGAATATAAAGATATATTATAACATATTTACATACATGCCACAAATAAGCCATACAACGATTTTACAAACGAGTTGTAAAACTAAAAAGCGGATGGTAAATTTACTATAATAATTTGTGGAAAGAAATAATAAATTAATGTTTAGTGTATTGTTAAAATTGATATATTATTTTTTGTTTTTAAGATCAAAACGTATTTGATTGGCTAAAAATATTTCTAGCAAATGTTATATCATTAAATTGAAATTATCTCATTCATTATAAGCATATGCCCACTAATGTAACCTCAACCTAAGTAACTTTAGACGATTTAACTACTAAATATTCATACAACAGAATATTTTTTGTAATTTTAATTGGCAACTTTCTACTTACCGAATGAAAGACTTACTAAAACTACCTACAAAAAGTGAATAATACGTTTGCACTATGTATATCAGATAAAATATAACTACATTACGAATTTGTTTTATAAACGATATCTTATGTTATTTAATTTTAATAATTCATATTTTTGACACACTCAAAAAATTAATTTGTGAACAACAATATCGAGGGTTATTTCTTGTCACAGATTATTTTAGTAAATTTACCATCCGTTTTTTAGTTTTGGCCCGTGGTTACATTGGATACGTGTCCGTACGTTTTTTTGGTCGTACGTGCTCGGACGTGCACGCAGCAAAAAACAAACAAATGGTATCTACGCAGACGGTTACATTGCATCGCAAGTTTGCGCGTCCGTGCACGTACGTCAATTTCCGTTGGTCGGATCAAAACAAACTAGTTTGTTTTTTTAATACGTGCACGTCCGAGCGTTCGAAATTTTATATCTCTGGGCCCAATACATCTGAATATAAAATACCAAAAATTTTGAATATTTTTGAATACCAGGTTTATTTTTATTTAGGATATATTAATGTTGCTGGAAACATTCTAAAATACTCAAAAAACTTGACCGGTTGCTGTTTTAATTCACCAAATATTTTACATAATATTCATTTTCTTCCCCTTTACTTGCATATAAATCATTTACCCAACATTTTCTTCTGTTCATAAGTAGTTATTTTAACATTAAATCCTCAGACAGCATCAAAGTAGTGGCGTCCGTTTTGACAAACTCGACACACAGGACACCATGAACGCGCATCTAATGTAACCACTAAAATAAAATAGTCGTGCGAGTAAATTCCATCAGAGTTCGCACGTATAAAAAACGCACGGACCCGCGTCCAATGTAACCGGGGGCTTATAACTCGTTTGTAAACTCTCTGTATGGCTAATTTGTGGCATGTACTTAGGTATATAAATGTGTTGTACCTTTATAAATTCACCAATATTCTTTGTGAATTTATTTAAAAAAATTTTATCTCATAGTAAACTTACTTATTCATTGAAAATTTATCATTTAAAATCGCCAACTTCTTGTACTATTATTATCTACTACACATTAACAACAATTAAAGCATTTTATTATAGTGAATTTACAAACTATTGGCGTAATAGTATATTACAATTACTTTTGTAAATTCACAAATCGTTAGTAAATATTAATAAACTAAATAAAACACGTATTCATAATTATAATATTTATTAGATAGATTTATTAATAGAAGGTTACAAAACAGAAGTTAAGTATGTAAGATACCCATCTCGTCTTGTCTAGAAGAATCTCACGGCGCTTTCAGATGGAGCGGACCTTAAGCGCGGAGCGTCCGCGCGTATGGTTTTTCAATATAGCTCATCCGGACGGATCATACGCGACCCATGTGAAATTGTTGAAACGGTATTTTCTAAGAGAGTTGATTTTATAATATAACTTTATATTTACTGAAATTACATATAAACATAATTAATATAATATACTTACCATTTAATTTAAATTATAAAAACACTAGTCATCAACGCACCGAGACTCCAACGTGTTCAAAAAACTGGTTGGATTAAAATGTTGTTCCTCAAACTACGTGTTCAAATTTTTACTTAATTCGCATCAGCTTCCCAAGAAATCTATACAAGAAGTATAGGAAACCCTAATATAGTTTGAAAGACCATTTAAATATGCTTCGACTTATTTAAAAAATACATAGTGTTGTATTATTTGAAATAACGAAGTTTTTATGTAAAATAAATATTTAAAATGGCCCAGCAATTTTTGATACCCCTGTATTTGCACAGGGTGTTGACAAACTTTTTTATTATAGCCTGCATATTTAAATATCTTTAAATATCTCAAAAACCAAAGCATTCAAACATAATAAACCCTTATTTTATGCTGAAGAATTCAAAAATTAAATAATATACAGGGTGTTCCATAAAAAAAACATAACTTTGGTATGGATCTTAGTTCTGACACACCCTGTACATTTGAAAATAATTTTAAATTATGCATATTACCTCCCTACATATACCCATAAAAATTTTGTTTCTACATCTTTCGGTTTTCGTATAATCAACCGAGGCGAATGAGGTGCGCTACCCTGTATATAAGAGCAACAACGAATATTTTTTAAAGCTTAATAAAAATTCCATATATACATATATGCGACCAACACATTCACATACACATGAGGGGGACGCTGTTTTTGCCAAAATTCGATTTGATATGGTGTAGTTGCGTGTTATTAATGTATGCGCCAAGCAATTATTGTGCATAAGGGTGGAATTCGAGTGCAGTTGCACGTACTCTATTCGCATGCTCTATAATCCCGTCTCTAACCGCTTCCGCCCTTGATCCAAGTTCAAGGCCATTACGTTTATTGATTACTCTGGTAGCGATGCAGATTTTCAAGGGCGGAGACGAAGTACAGTCTGCTAAATAATAAAATCGTTTATTATACGTATACATTTACAAATATTTCTTAAAATATCTAATATAATCACAGTCTTTATATTCTTTTGATTCGGCTTCTATTTCTCTTCATTTTACGGTATTATGGATCCATTCCAAATATTCTGATACTTTCGTGTACACTCCGTATCGGCCCGACAATCCACAGCCAATTCCAAACGAAACAATACCTTCTATCGACCAACGCGGAATTTTTTCGGTTGACAGTTTCATTAGAGGAGCGCCACTATCTCCTGAAATAAAAATATAATTTTGAAATGCTATAATATTGAAATACGTTTGTATAGAATGTTTAGCCCAGGGGGGTGACAGCAAAGAATATACCTAGCTAGAAAAAGAATGGACTCTGCCATACTGAAAAATGGTCCTACAAAAGTGGCGCCATCTATTGAGTAGGGCTTGTTTTAAATGGATCGAAGCGCGGGCTTTTTAAATGAGCGTATTTATTGAATTTTGCTCTAAAATAATTAAATTTGATTATTAAATCTTATTTTTTACACAAATTCAACAATACTAATAACAAGTATCGTTGTGATGTGTAAAAAATAAGATTTAACAGTATAATTTATACAATTATTAAATAAAATTAAAGCCAAACATGTGTAAATATTATTTATTATTTAAAGTTTTTATTTATATGTCAAATATTTAAACATCGTTTATTATAATAAAACAAGACCAACGTAATACGCCCAAAGTTTTGTAAATGGAGTAAATATAAATAGGTACTTAAATGATGGCAAAAATAAAAGACTTATATTATATTTTTAGGGCCACAAACAAAAGGAATTGTCTAATAAAAACACATATAACAAATTATAGTTTGAAAAACGTTTTGATAATCATTTTTGATAATATTATGACCTTTGATTATGACTATGGCGCTATGACAACGACAATATTTTTTGAGAATTTGACAATAGTATGACAATGGCCGTTGGAAACTATGGAAACTACAAAAAAAATCTGATTGAACGCCACCTGGCAATAACTAGTAGCAACTTCTTAAACTAAAAATTAATTGCACTACCACCTAGCGCCCGAGGCTGGAACTATTTTATTTTAAATTTCCGTGGAAACGGTGGAACCGCTTTTGCTATTTCACTTTCCGGCCCCTGGGTGACAGTGAAATAGGAAAATTGAAAACAGTCATTAGTGTCATTCCTGTCATCACCTGACGACAAGTATGGCCGCTTAGACAAGGACAACAATGTTTCTGTCTAACTATTGTCTAACTTCACAGTTTAGAATTGACAGATTTGATCTAGAACAAATCGAAAAAATTTTGACGCCATTTTAATTATCTCCGTTTAGTTTTGTTTTGCAAATTCAATTTGATATTCCGGTTGAAATTTATAAATATAAAGGTAATAAAGCATATAAAATATATATTACATGAAAAATCTTGGAGAAAAAGACGTTTCTGCAGTACTAGGTATGTCCCATGTATATTAAAAATAAGTAGTAAATAAACACTATTTCTATATTTTTTAGATGCAAGAAAATTTTGTTATATGTTTATGATCGGCGATTTTTTTTGAAAATGGAATCAATTTACAGCAAGGTAAGATGATTTTTAACTATAGCCAACATTAGTTATTTCCAGTATGTGCCATTTATTGTCAATAATACAATAAATTTGTCTGATACAATCTGATTGTTATCCGATTAAAAGTCTCTTTTTACTTCTTTTGGATTTATAAACCAGGTCTCTTTGGGAATAATGGAGATTTTTTTTAAATAGTATATTTATATTTTATACCTATATTGATATTTTTAGGGACCTATTTTTACATTGTTAATTTTAGTATAAAAAAATGTGTTTTTCTGTTTTCAGGTTTGGTTTGGTTTGGTATAAGGCCCCCGTTTTAATATTCCTGCCCCCGGTTTCTGTTTCTGAAGGCTGTGAATACCTGTATTTATTTACAAATTACTGTAATTCATGCTTATACCTTACTAAATTACGTTAAAACAGCATATAATTAAGTAATTGATATAGAAATCATTCAATTCTTTTTTTATATTTATTTAGTCACGTTGTCTCATATCTCAAATAAATATGTTTGAATAAATTTTTATTTTGTTTTATTTATGATAATAAAGAGTACAAAATACATTTAAACTGAAAGAGGTGCCCGCCATTGAATAACCGGAAACGGAAATAAAAATGAAGCCATCATGTCAACCTGTCAATTCAAAATTAGTTCTCCAGACGACAACGAAGGCTTTCGGTAGCGTATCGTGTTTTCACGATTTAACTCAGAGTTGACACTTCTTTCTAGTTAATTTTATGGTTTAGCCATCGTTTACCGTCACGTCATATATTGTCGAACTCTCTCAATTACTTGTCAACCAGATGAAAGACATTGGTGATGCCATTACAACAATTCGTAAGTCACTGCATATTCTTTTTTGTAATTATCATAGTCATTTGAATTGGAGTTATAATTTCATTGGCGGACATCGATCAATGTCAAAATTTCCTTTTAGTAATTGTCACTGTCATTTGATTTGGGGTTATAATTTTATTGACGGACATCGATCAATGTCAAAATTAAAATTTGGATGTTGGTGTAAAACAAAATTCAAATTTTTGTATTGCAAAAATGTCTCAAAGGTTTAATCAAAACGAACAAGAGCTTATTCCTCAGCTTATAAATTATTTTTCTCAAGAAAGAGAAAGTATGATCGAAAAAAAACAGCGTCGAGTTGGCCTGGAAATGACGATCGATGACATTTCCCATAATAGAATAATAATAATAATTAGCGTCATATTTTTTGCTGTTTTAACTTAACAATTAAATTTCTTTGAGAATCTAATTCAACGCTACGGAAAGGGTGATAATAGCTATCTGAAAATGTGATACTTTAACAAAAGCAAAAAACATGATATTAATCAAATAAGTTAATAAGTTAATTAATTAATAAGAACCATATCTATCAAAGAATGAAATCAAAATTATATTACCATAGAAAGGCCTTCTCATTTTTAGGACTTCATAGGAAAAATTCAACCATATTTCTATGTTTTATTTTGACCATTTTAGAACAAGCCAAAATGTCAATAATAAAAAAGTTTCTCCTGTTGTAAATACAATCCGGGTACATACTGTATATGAATTGAAGTATTTAGTTTTGTAGTAAAAAAATATTTCAATGTCTGTCACTTTTCATTTTAACAAGGTAAATGTTTGTCCAACGAGTCTAAGGTTGTCTTGTCTAAGGTTTGTCTGTTTGTTTAAGTTTGTCTAAGGAGTTGTTTGTGTAAAGATTTCGACAGATGCCATCCAGAAAATGACAGAAAATTAAAATTACTTTTGTAATGACTGACGCAACTGTCAGTGTCATAAATCCCTTCATTTCAAATTCGGTTGTTCAAATTCGAAAGTAAGCGCTTGTATATTGAAACTACATAAGATATAACAATCATGAAAAACTGGTCAAATCTGTGTAACACTCGTATGGCATTTTAAAAATAAGCATTTATTTAGTATTTCCTTCTTTGTAGTAAATATTTAAAAAACAGTTAAATAATATAATATATAAAGTGAATAAACTTTACCAGCACAAGCATCCTTTCCAGATTCGCCTCCGGCGCAGAATTGTTTTTTAATTTTCATAACTTTTTGAAACGCTATCGAACACTCCGACGTTGCTACAACCGGCAGCTCTACTTTTTGTTTTGTTGTGGCTAGTTCGCTGTAACTTTTCAGACCCCATCCAGAAACAGTTAACCGTTCACCTGGGAAAATGTAGCTATCCTTTTTGGGAAGACATATCGGACTAATTAAATCTAAACACAATCATTAAATTATAAATTGATAAATCAAAATGTTTTTCTGTTTACCATTATATATAATTGTTGTATTCAGTTTTATTAAACTAATGTCATTGTAACGTTCAGTTACGTTATAATTTGGATGGACGTGTATTGACTCTATTCCCACGTTGATTTTCATTGGATTACATATCTTCAAATCATCTGTCCCTGTACAGTTTTTATCGGCACTTTTTATGTCCCATTCCCCTAATCGTATATTAATTCTATAAAAGAAAATATTTTAATGAACTAGTATTTCTTATGAATTTTTATAAGGAAGTATATCGATGGTGTAGTACGCAAATGTGGTAAGTGCATTTTCCAGCAAACGAATAATTTAGGCAAAAATTTTCTTAAGACAAGTAAAATATTCAAATTTGTTCCACTTGTGTTAAGTACTTAAGCATAATCAAGAAAGTAAATTTTGGCAAACTTATAAACTTTAAAGTTCATATAGGTAACTCAAAACATACATTTTTGTACTTACAATATTTGTAAACTAGACCATTGATACTCTGTAAAATTTGACTATAAACTATATCAAATTTTAGAAAAATGATTTAAAAATATGTAGCATATTTATTGCCCATTGATGTAAGGAAGATTTCTACGAGAATTAAAAAATTACAGAAAATTCAATAACATTGTTGCTGTCAGTATTCTATTATGTACTATATTCTAAATTATTTGCACAGGGTTTTTCAAACTCAATGCTGATTTCATACCATCATTCATAAGAAAATAGAGAATGAAAATATAAACTTGGCGGACTATATACAAAAAGGACCTAGGATCTATTAAGGTATATATTTTCTATTTCTTCCTCAACGTATTACGAGTATTTATTATAGGTATAGTCCATTAAGAAGATTGTTCTAAGAGTTATTATGGGTTATTTTTTTATTTAATGATGTAAAACTTACACCACAAGTGGTAACAACAAGTTACAGGGTACCATTAATGTACAAGCTAATAATCGCAGAATTTACTAAAAACTAACATAGAAATAACTTTGAAAATCGTACAATGTGCTTACCAATCAAACTTATTCCTCTGACTGCAATCAAGGGTAATAAAACACCTTTATTGTCACGTTATCATTCAAAATAGTTTATAAGGGAAGCTACAAGCTCTTTTCTTCGACTCTTTAAATGCTCAACACACAATTTAAAAAAATGCAATACAAAACTCGACAGTTTAGTTCTTAAAAGAACTGTTTGTGCTTAAAAGTATACAATTAAAAAAAAAGGCTATGAAAATAGGCAAAAAACGAGAATTACTCACAAAGATTCAACAACAACAACACGACATTATACAAAATAATGACTGACATTATACTAATTGTCAAATAATAAACGACGACATTGCTGAACACGATAATGAAATGCGTAATGAACGCGTAATGTGACCAACATAGCGATAATAAAATTCGGTTTAAACTAATTTGTGCAGTTTTAATCTATATAAAATATCTGTTACAATACTTTGGTTTATAAGTATATAAAGTAGTAGTATAAGAGCAGCGGCGGATATAGGCATTTATTTTAGAGGGGGCCCAAATAAAAAGTAATGTAGAATATGCCTTTTAGGGCGCCATTTTTAACCAAAAAGCCTAATATTTAACCAAATTTATAGATTTTAGGGGGGGCCTTGGCCTCATGCCCCCCCCCTCTGTATCCGCCACTGATAAGTAGTATTTTTTTAAACATTTTTGCCAACATTTCATTTAGTCAGGTTTATAGGCTTTAGTGTCAATGTCGGTATGATTGATGACGTGCATCGGAAAATGTTTTGCGATTACCGTAGTATTTCTCTGCTGTTACGGATTCAGCAACTACTACAAGTCAAAGTTTTGCCAATATAACGCCATCAAAACTATTGTTTTCATAACTATACCATTTTTTTCTCACAATCGGAAAAAATATGTCTCGAAACAATTTCTATGTAAAAGTTTTTCGCCTTTTCACTCCTCTCATACTTCATATCCACTCACACTTTATATTGGCCACCTTGTAGAAGTTAAAATATTTTCCTGAAATACATCCTAATACATATTTTAGGTAGACACTTATTCAAAATTCCTAAGTTTTGTTATTACAGGAGCTACATATGCCCGACGCATAATTGCCGGATCCGTATAAAGTTTTTCTTACTGTTTTAAGCGTAGCATCCCATATTTGCGGCAACTTTTTCATAGCCAACCTTGTAACATTATACAAAGGATAAAAATGGTTTTAATTTGGTATATAAATTATCAAGTTACGTTAAGAACGTTATGTCGTCTCCAAAATCAATTAATACTATTTTAATTAAACATATTGGCGGCAACTTGCTGATTGGCACGCTGATAAAATTGCATTCCCTTAGTCATGTAAAAAACAGATTTTGATTAACTACGTAATGAGCGTAATGCTTCTGCAGCCGGATTCTGTACTATTCATATACAGGGTGGTGCACCTCATTCGCCTCGGTTGATTATACGAAACAAAATATTTTATAAAGTGTGACCAACGGATCTGTAGCTACGGGGTATCGGCAGGGGAACGCAGTTGTAAACAAAACACGCCCAATTTCATTCATAAAATAGGCATGGGCGTACGGTGTTATATGAAAATAATGTGTATAATAATGTCATAAATATAATACTCAGATTAATAATTTTTTTCAAAAAACTTTATGCTGTTTGAATCGTTACTGTTGAGTTAGCAGATAAACACTAAAAGCTTTTATTTCTCCCGTAAATATTTTGAATCATTTTATTATTGTGTTGTTAATATAATAGAAGAAATAATTACAGCTGGGGGTTGGAACCTTTGGTGTTACACAGCAAAATAAAACACTAAATCAGTACAATACACCAAAACACTTTTAATTTTATACTGGACGCACGTTTCGCTAACCATGTCTGCCATCAGCAGATGATCAAGACTGAGTCTTGAGATATATTTATTTATATATCTGTACTAACTATATTTTTTTCTATAATACATAATTTTAGATATAACTATTTCCAGCAAAAAAAATCTTAAAAATAGTTAACTTTGGAAGCGCAAACAAAACATAATTTTACTCACCAGTAGATCCAATATTGCCTATTACACCAGATATGGTATCGCTCCGCCAGCAGTTTTTAAAGGTTAGGTCATTGTATACCCATATGTTTCATCCAAATAGATAATACTTGGCTATATTTTCGAATTTCGCGTATATATTTATATCCCTCTCTGTAATATAATGGGCCGCTCCATTAATATTTATCTGTTATTTTGACATTTACGCCAAAAAAAATCATTTGATTTTAATAACTCCCTAAGCGTTTCCCTGCAAAAGGAAAATTCGATTCTTCCTGCAATTTTTGCAAAAGCTTTCTAATTGTGAGGACGAGTTTGAATTCGAGATAAAATCTATTTATCAAATTCCTGACCACTTCGAAAAAGTCGTCGAGCTTTTCGACAGCAGTCTCACGTGGTCGTTTCTTTCCAGAGCTGGATATCATTTTATCGGGGTTAGTTTTAAGCCTTTTTTTAACTTCTGTGTTTTTAACAAGTTTACGTTTAAGCAGCAACTTAAGCGAACTCTCTGTAGCTTCTTCATCGCAAACCCTATTATGAACACAAGGAAATAAACCAAATGATATTTCTTCCACGTTATTATTAACTTACTTATATAAATTAGCTATTATTTCTCTTGTCTGACTATGTAGTGTCTTACCCTTAACAAATTTATTCATTTTAAAACACAAATATACGATCAAACTTGATATTAATAATTAAAAACTACGAACGAAAAACATTATAACAAGATAACAAAACAATAAAACACAACTGAACTATCAAATATACAAAAAATATAGGAATAAAGTTTAGGATAACCGGTATAAAATAATGAAATAAAGTAATAATGATCAAAAAAATGACACCGCCACTGGATATTTCAATAGTATTCAATATTCCTACTCTTTTCAGAAGAGATCGTGAAGTTGGGCATAAAGCAAGCGAATAGGAAAGGCGTAAAAGACATGGCAACCGCGTGGTAACAAATCCTGTGACGTACTCTCGCCAATCATGTTCGATGAATAGGCGACCATGCGCGGCGATGCCGGTTTGCCAATGATATCGTTGAAAAATCTTCAACTTTCATAATAAGCAGATATACAGAATGAAAGAAATAAGTTATTAAATAAAACATATCGAACAATATGAACTACGTTAAAATTCCTTAGTAATATACGTCAGAACATATGCTAAACACATTATATATAATAAAAATATATTAAATTTATAGTTCATGTCTGGCAATTTTGCAATTTTATAGATAAACGTGGCAATATCGATTTTTTTTTCTCGCATTCCTTCCGTAGCTTTAGATCAGACCGCTGGTCAAACAGTATGGGTATATGTAGAGAGACAAAGCGCATAATATAAAATTATTTTGAAACGTACAGGGTATGTCAGAACTAAGATCCATACCAAAGTTATATTTTTTCTTATGGAACACTCGGTATTTAATTTAATTTTTGGATTCTTGGACATAAAATAAGGCATTTATTATAAGGGTTTAATATGTCTAAAAGATTTGGTTTTTGAGATATTTAAAAATATTTAAATATGCATGCTATGATAAAAAGGTTTGTCAACACCTTCTACATTACTTTTCAGAATTAATTCTGGTGCTGACTTTTAAGCCAGAGAAATAAACTATACTAAAAAATTTGATTCCTTCCTTAAATGTATATCATATATTTTTTTTTCTTTCTTGGGTATGAGGTTTTAATTGAAAATGGAAACTTTTTTTTTATTATGCGACGTTTCGCCTCATCATGGTGGGCTTTCTCAGGCACTTTATTCTTGAAGCCGCAACCGCCTTGCTACCACCAGTCTATATAGAAGATATCATTCTTCTATATTTTCAATTAAAACCTCATACCCAAGAAAGGAAAAAAAATATATATGATATAATTTAAAAGTTTAAGAAAAATAAAAAAAAATAAACTCTCTTAAATGTATACAGGGGTATCAAAAATTGCTGGTCTATTTTAACTATTTATTTTACATAAAAACTTCGTTATTTCAAATGCAACACCCTGTATTTTTTAAATAAATCGAAGAAGATTTAAATACTCTTTCAAACTATATTAGGGTTTCCTATACCTATCTAGCTCAGATTTTGAATAAAAAGCGATTTTTAAATAAAATAGCAATCAAGATGGCTGGTGTCGCCATGGCAATTTTCTAGTGACACTTAGTAGCTATTTTTAAAATCGAAATTAGTTTATGGACTTTATTTAAATTTATAAGAGTTTACTTTTTATTTAATTTACCTACAACAGTTTAATAAGTAAGCATTTATTATTTTGTCAAGAAAAATAAACAAGCAGTTCTTTGATTTCTATTACGATGAGTTGTAGATATATTGGATTTTCTATAAAAGAACCAATTAAGGTAAATTCATTTTCTTCACTTCCAACGACAGGTTTCTGCCTAATAGGCTTTTCATCAGCTCTGCGAAATAGGAAACGTAGTTTTTTAAAGGAACGCTTATCAGGAATGTTCCTATTTGGATATATTTTTAATAATAATAATAATGCCTTTATTTCACAGATTGTCAGAGATTACAATAGAAAATAATATTTATAAACAAGATATATATAAAAATAATACAAATCAATAAAAAAGTATAAAAAAATAAACACGCTCATTCTTACTAACAATCTTAGAAACATCAAGGGGAAGTTCACCATACGGTGCTCTGCCACTTAACCCTTGACAAATAATAAAAAAATATAAATAAATTCTTAAACACTAGATTTTATATTAACACACAAAAAAAATCGACCTAACCTGTTTTAAATTTAAATAAAGCCCATAAACTAATGTCGATTTTAAAATAGCTACTAAATGTCATTAGAAAATTGCCATGGCGACACCAGCCATCGTGATTACAGTTTTATTGAAAAATCGTTTTTTATTCAAAATCTGAGCCAGATAGGTATAGGAAACCCTATAGTTTGAAAGAGTATTTAAATCTGCTTCGATTTATTTAAAAAAATACAGGGTATTGCATTTGAAATAAGGAAGTTTTTATGTAAAATAAATAGTTAAAATAGACCAGCAATTTTTGATACCACTGTATACATTTAAGGAAGCAATCAAATTTTTTAGTAAAGTTTATTTCTCTGGCTTGAGAGTCAGCACCAGAATTAACTCTGAAAAGTAATATAGAAGGTGTTGACAAACCTTTTTATTATAGCATGCATATTTAAATATTTTTAAATATCTCAAAAACCAAAGCTTTTAGACATATTAAACCCTTATAATAAATGCCTTATTTTATGTCCAAGAATCCAAAAATTTAATAAAAACCGGGTGTTCCATTAGAAAAGATATAACTTTGGTATGGATCTTAGTTCTGACACACCTTGTACATTTCAAAATAATTTTAAATTATGTACATTGTCTCTACATATACCCATAAAATATTTTGTTCCTACATCTTTCCGTTTTCGTATAATCAACCGAGGCGAATGAGGTGCGCCATCCTGTATATTTAAAGCCCTTGTTGAGAAATTCCGTTATAGCAGTTGACACATGATATTTGCCAAAGTAATTTTATATGATGCTAGCGTGTACCTGCGACTTCGTTCGCGTCGAATTAATCATTTGTAATGGTGATGATAAAGCAAAGCAAGAATTTCCATTAACATACAAACTCGATAAAATTTTCTCACATTTATATCAGCATGAGAAAAAAACAATATTGCGATATTATTATATAACTAGGTAATATCTGAGGGGTAGTTTCATCTCGTTGGAATTTGACGAAAAATCCGTTTGCCAAAAATAAGCTTTTTACGTCAAGCAGTTTAAGCAGAATCGTGGTTAAGAAATTGCCAACTTTTTGGAACACCCTGTATGATTTTTTAAAAATTTCAAAATATATAAAAAAGCAAATAAATTATGCTTGTCCAAGCGTTTTCCCGAAAGACTAACCGTTTTTTAAATACCAAATATTGTAATATTTGAGGGGCGTTTTCACCCTCTTGGAATTTGAGATTCGAGAAACCCCTCCTTATCGAACCTCTACACCCCAGAGTCAATCCGTTTGCCAAAAATCAGCTTTAAACGTCAAGCAGTTTAAGCAGAATCGTGATTACTCAATGGTCATATTTTATGAAACACCCTGTATAAATTTATAAAAAATCTTAAAATATGTAAAACAACAAAATAAAATATACGTTTTTAAGAGTTTTTTTTAAAACATACGTTTTTAAGAGTTTTTCCGAAAAACTAACCGGTTTTTAAATAAAAAATATTTTAATATTTGAGGGATAGTTTCACCCCCTTAGAATTCGAGTTTCGAAAAATTCCTTCTTATCGAACCTCTAAAACCCAAAGTCAATCTGTTATCCAAAAATCAGCTTTTTACGTCAAGTGCTTTAAGCATGATCGTGATTAATCAATGACCAGATTTTTCGAAACACCCTGTATACATTTTTAAAAAAATTTAAAATATGTAAAAAAACAAAATAAAATATACGTGTTTAAGCGTTTTTTCGGAAACTTGACCGTTTTTTAAATAAAAGATATTGTAATATTTGAGGGATGGTTTCACCCTCTTGGAACTGAAATTTCGAAAAATCCCTTCTTATCGAACCTCTACACCTTAGAATCAACCTGTATGCCAAAATTGAGCTTCTTACGTTGAGTGGTTTGAGTAGGATAGTGATTAATCAGTATGTCAGTCACTTAAGGATTTTATATGTATATTAGTATAGATTGGATATGATACCTAAATTGATTGCGGAACAAACAACTCGGCAATACTGTTGCCATATCTTTCAAATTTTTGTACTGCATTGTGTAGGTAAATTTCCTATTCCCAACTTACAGCTTTGTTCCTTGTAAAACATTTCTTCCTGCAACGCAGTGGGCAGCCGTCAAAACGTAACGTGATGATATAAGAGCACCAGTACATAAAAAGTTTTTGGATCCATCTAGCTCCTCAAATTCCAATAACGCCAGCCAAGGAAATTCCGAAGATTCCGAATCAACTCCACCAAATATTCGGCTTGCTAACTAAAAATAGAAATAAATATTTAGTAGTAGAAAATAGAGATTTAGTAGTGGGTAGTGTAAGAGGTTACACAGAGAATTTTTGTAAATACAGCTCATACAAAATTGGCATTATCCAGGATCGGAACTTTCCGATCACGACCATTATGTAAACGTCCTGAATACAAATATAGTTCCCGAATTCTTCCACGATTATTTTAATCTCTATTTTTGTGTCACTCACATCTCTAAAAGTGTCACTTTTCGATAATCATCATCATCATCATTTTCAGCTTATTCAACCATTTCCAATTATGGTGTAGTCTCCCTCGCATATTTAGATACTATCTTTGTAGTTGGGTCCATTGGTTGTCTATTGTTTGCTATGCGGGCCCTATTTATTCCTGCTAATTTCCTAATATAATGGTCCCATCTCAGGTTCAGTCTTCTTCTAGGTCTCTTAATTCCTTGTGGGTACTATTCTGTCATTTTTGTGGTACCTTCTTCTTGGTTTAGTTGTCCCTTCTTCTTGGTGTCCTGCCCTTTGCCATTTGAGGGATTCGACTCTGTGGATGAGATCTATTACTTGAGTCTTTCGTCATATCCACTCTATTCTTATACGGTCTCTCTTGGTTATTCCCAGCATATTTGATTCAATTGTGCGACCTGCAGTTTCCTTATGATGTACGTTTTAAGTGTCCAGCTTTCGCATAGGTCATGACTGGTACTACATATTGGTTGAATGTTTTCTTCTTTAGATAGAGTGGCAGTCTAGATTTGAATATGATTGAGTTTCTTCCATACGTACTCCATGCTAACTTAATCCTTCTGTTGGTTTCTGGTAGTACAGATCCCGAGTTGTGTATTAGTTGTCCCAAATATACTACTCTACTACTATATTACTCTACTATTTCCAGTGTTGTGTTAATTATTAAAATATCTTTTCTTTCCACTAGTTCGTTATACAAGGTGGTCCGAATTGTATTCTGGAAACTTCGGCGGCATATTCTGCAATTAAAAATAAGTAAAAAAGTTCGTATAAATATATGTCCTAAAATGCTTAGTTTCGGAAATACAGGGTGTAGAAATTTCATTTTTATTTCGATTTGTTCCAAATAATTTATGAAGTAACGTCAATATATTTGGATGAATATTGGTGCCAGGGAGTTTTTTGATATGAGAAATTTGATTTTGATGTCAATATGACTCCTACTTGTAGAGGGCGCTACCTACATATTTTTTAACTGGTTTGAAGGGTAATAACTTTTCGTCCGTAGCTGTATAAAACTACTGAGTAAAAAAATATACATTTACGACGTTTTTACGTGAAAAAGGTTTCTTGGTAAAAATCGCTACGAGTAATGGTTTTCCAGATATTTGGAATCGAAATTATCAATACCGGTCATCATTGACATAAATTATTAACATGCGTTGACTTAATAGTTATTAGACTGAAATCATAAATTTGAAATGTTTTTGGGCCAAAAGTCCAACAGAAACTGTTTTATCATCATTTTATGCAGAAAATTTTATGATTAATTAAAAAAAATAAAAATTTCCTAAATTTGTTATTTCACAGAAATAATCTACTCAACGCAACGTGTTTATTCTTTGTCAATAATGACATGTATTACCTATTTCCATTCTAAATATCTTAAGAACGATTGCTCGTAGCGATTTTTACAAAGAGATATTTTTTACGTAAAAAAGTCACAGAGATGTATATTTTTTCGCTCGGTAGTTTTATACAGGTACGGACAAAAAGTTATTACTCTTCAAAATAGTTAAAAGGCATGTAGGTGGCGCCCTCTACTAGTAGGAGTCATATTGACACCAAAATCAAATTTCTCATGTCAAAAAACTCCCAAACACCATTTTTAATCCAAATATTGACGTTACTTCAGCAATTATTTGGAAAAAATCGAAATAAAAACGAAACTTCTGCACCCTGTATCTCTGAAAGTAAGCATTTTAAGACATACATTTATACGAACTTTTTTACTTATTTTTATCTAAAGAACATGTCCGGAATACAGTTCGGACCACCCTGTATATTAGTGTAGTTTTTGCTAAATTCATTTTGAGACCCACTTTATAGCGGGCTGTATTTAGTTCGTTAATTTGTGTTCGTAGTTTGCAGTTCTTCAGGACTAATTGGCTATTACGACTATGTTATCAGCGAATCTTAGATAATTAAGATATTCTCCATCTATTTTTGATCCTTTTTTGGTCCAGTCTAGTTGACGAAAGATTCCTTCTAGTGTTGCTGTAAACAGCTTTAGGTATATCACGTCTCCCTGTCGTACTCCTTTTCCAGTTGGGAACTCTGGGTGCTCTGGGGCTGTTTCTTTTTCGATAATAATAATCGTTTTATGATCATGAATTTAATTTGAAAGAGCGAAAAGAATTATTTTAGCTGTAGACAATAATGAATAACAAGAGCAGTACCTTTATTTACTGCTTGCTGGTCTTTTATACCTTGAGGTACAAGACTCTCGTCTCAAAAACCAGTAGTACTCCGCTAACATGTTTGCATTCCACTTCATTCAAAATATCTTCTCCAGCTTAGCGATGTCTTGAGGAAACTGTTTCACGTCTTCTTCCGAGATTGGTCCTAAATTTTTAGAGAAGTTCATGTGCGAGCGAAGAAAGTGCACTTTCAGCGATATATTATATCCCATGGCTTTATAGGCTAACAGCAATTCCTCGCTCTTAACGACATAATCATCTAATTTGTAGTTACTCAAAAATTCTTACACAGGTTTTGGAATGCAGACCAAGCTCGTTTTTCTTTTCGAATCAGGTGCTTAATAAACGTCGAATTTTGGAAACGTTATCCAACTTTGGGACCCATAAAAACTTTTTTGATTTTAACCTGACTAACACGAGGAAATTTAATTTATGAAATTTGAAATGCGACACCTGTCTTGTCTAAGGGTACGAACATAGTGGAGGCAGGTTTCTGCTTTCCGGCAACCAGCGCCGTCTCTGGGGACCTATTCTTGACAACTCGCATCTTCAAATATCGCTCGCATCTCGCATCTCCTAAAAAGCCATATAACAATACACAGATGCGTAACTTTGCGTATATGCATCACGTGTATTGTATATGGCTATTTCGGAGATGCGAGAAGGATTCGGAAGTAGATAATTAAGAGGAAATTTACCTGATTAACTAACCTAACCTAACCAAACCATATTCAAACGCCGCGCCCGCCTCGCCGGGGCCGCACATAGGTGTATTTGGTCTATAAACCTGGCCAAAAGTGATATTTTTTTTATTTTCATTTTTTATCTTAACTGAATACAAATCTATAAATACTAAATATAAGCACGTTTATTAGTTATTAGCTTTTTTAAGTCTTAAATTGACTATCAAATAAATAATATATTTCAGTTAAAAGTATGAATTATCTGATAACAAGAGAGAGATATTTTTTTTATTTTCATTTTTTATCTTAACTGAATACAAATCTATAAATACTAAATGTAAGCACGTTTATTAGTTATTAGCTTTTTTAAGTCTTAAATTGACTATCAAATAAATAATATATTTCAGTTAAAAGTATGAATTATCTGATAACCCATAAAAGTAAGTGTATTCTGAATATTTCTAAGATTATAAAAATAGTGGAATTGTTTGTAGTGCTTTTTTTGCAAATTGTTCATAATAACTGTCATGATGGATACAGAGCCAGCTTTGTTTGTTTGCTTTGTTCTGTTTTATGCCATATTTTTATTTTGAAACGTTTCCTTCTATTCTATTTTTTTATGTTTTATATTTAAAAAATCAGTGGCATTTTTATAAGGTGTAAGACTATTCGGCAATATTCCGCATGGAAATTAGTATCCTATTAGTAGAATATGCACTAAAATCTTGCCAATATTTGCCACTGCCAAAAAAAACATTGATTTAAATAGATTCTTAAAGGAAATAGTCTTTACCCTATTAACACCCATCCTCGCTCAAATATCGTCTATAATATACAAATTACTTTCTTGTTCTAGCATCCTCATCCAATTGCTTGGTTTTGCACAGAATGGCCCTATTTGATCGGTGGAAGTAGAGGAAAAAATATTGTGTAGGAAAAACAAAATGGGGTTCCATATTAGCAACCTCTCCTCTAATTAATAATTAATATTACTAGCAAAAAGCAAAAATTCATAAAACATAATTTTGTCCAACTTTTAATTCTTAATACCCTGTGTGCCGTCGGCGCGTGCAAAAGCAGAAATAAATAAATTTTCGTTCCGGTAAAAGCGAGAACGCCGATGAACGCTGGTTGACGGTGCCTGCCTGCTTTCACTGTGAACTAGCCGATTTGTTAACACGCTTTAATTTTTCAAGGTTATAAGCGCGAGGCGGCGCGGCGCGGCGCTACTATGTAACCATATACAGGGTGTCCCAGAAATAAGTGCAAGTATTTTAACTTAACTGGTAGTATAGTTCAACCTCAGAAACACGCCTATGAGGTTTTTTTCTAAATATTTTTTTTTTGAAAATTCGGAATTTTTTGAAAATATTTTTGAAATTTTTTTGCAATTTTTTTTAGTTTTTATTTAAAAAAAATAATTTCTTGATAATATGGCAACATAGGTAGTAGATTAAATTTACAAGAAAGAAAATCTAGAAAAGATCCAGTGGTTCTCAAACAAATCTCGAAGTATTGGAAAGAATGTGTAAGGACCAAGAACTATTGACTACAATAAAACGACGGAAAGCAGCATATTTTGGTCATATTTTTCGAAATAACAAATATAGTTTCCTACAGCTGATCGTTGAGGGAAAGATTGAAGGACGACGAGGCATCGGGCGTAAACGGTTTTCCTGGTTGCGGAATTTGCGCCAGTGGTTTAATATAGGAGAGGCCAGTGCAATTATTCGTTTGGCTCAAGACAGGGAGGAATTCCAATTGATGGTCGCCAACATCCGATGCGGAGAAGGCACATGAAGAAGAAAGTTCTCAAAATTTTAGCAAAAAATAATTTTTTTTTGGAAATTTTCAAAGTAAAAGAACTCCATTATTTTGGACTTAATTGAATAACGATAAAGAGAAAATATGTTTCTTTTATCGAGATCTACCACCCTTTAAAATACTTGCACTTATATCTGGGATACCCTGTTTATAACAATACACGTGATGCGTATACGCAGTTGCGAACAATGTCAAGAATAGGTGCCCAGATTGGCGCTGACTACCAGTAAGCGGCAAACCTGCTTGCACTGTGTTCGCACACTAATACTTTAACAAACGGTTTGATCAACCCGAGTTTGATGCGCAAAGACGACAAGTAAATATTTTAAAAAAAATGTATGTATGTTTGTCACGATATGTAAGTATGTAATGTTTGTCACGGGCTAGGCTGTCCCATTCACAAAGGAGGTATCAAAATTTTGTGAACAGTAAAATAAAATATTAGTTCACCCAATACATCAAAATGCTTTACTTTTCACACTGAAAGCACGTTTCATTAACAATATGAGCATCATTAGCAGATGATGACTGATAACGCATGTCCAGTGTGAAAAGTAAAGTGTTTGGCGAAAATTAGTGTTTTATTTGGCTGCTGTAACACCAAAGGTTCCAATCTGTACCAAAACTGTAATACTTTGTGAAGCCTGATTGCTGGCGCGTGAGTAGAACAACATTAATTCAGCGCAAAGTTTCCAGTTATAGTCATGATAACTGATTTTATCAAGGATTCTGGTGATGTTCTGGTACGTATCCATCATATCAACAGAGTAAGCAACTGGGAATACCATATTAAATCAAAACCAACCCTCCTCTGTAGCAAAGCCTATCGCCTATTTCAAATGTTTCAGAGTACCTCAGAAAAAATAATTTAGAAACCAAAATAATCCTTTTTGGTTCCAATAAAGTACCAAAAAGCAGTAAAAATATCTATGGGGGTCACCCCTAAAATCGGCAGGTGATGGGGTAAACGGAGATCATATTTGGATTCATGGGATCACTTTAGATAAATATCGGAAAGAATTGTGTCAGAGCCGATTTTCATGCAGACCACAATCATGCGACTGTGGCAATTTATTCCAAACAGTACACATATAATTAAAGAATACCCGTTCAGAAAATTTAGCGTTTCTGACAAGACCCTACACGAGGCCACTGATAAAGCGCTCGAATATTTGAAGCAGTCACTAAGCATCTTTTACGCCTATTTTTTTGTTAGCCTGTACTGCTGTAGTTTGTTTTTAGATCTCGTAGTATTAAAGGATTTTATTTTTTTAATATATTTATATACACTTTTGTATGCATATTTCTATTTTTTTCACTCTATTAACTTTTTTTCACTTTATTAGCTTTTGCTATTACTATATTTACTATAAACTTACTAAATATTTTTGAATCTTACTTTTATTTTTTATTCTTTGACATTGTAAACATTTATAAATGTTTATTTTAAACAATAATACTGACAATGTAATTTGTATACTTGTTTTGTATTCTCTTTTGTTTGTTTACTTTACCTTTGTCTACAAATTGTAAAATTTTTTGACAATAAAGGCATTATTTATATTATTTATACTATTTATTCGTTTATAGTGTGTTACATAACAAGATATTTTACATAAATCTCATGCAAGCCCGCCCTAGAGACTATACTAAAGAGTATAATTCTAGGAAAAAAATCGAATTGGGTCAAAAATTGACATGCCTGCTTTTGCACCACACAGTCTCTTACAGATTAAAGTAATTATTAGACAATAATTTTCTTCCTTTCTCTTTCTTACAATTTGAATAGAAAATATAAATTACCTGAAGGCCACATTCTTCTGGAATCAAATTATTTGGAGTAAAATTAGTTACAGCATCTTCAACAACACTTTTGTAATTCACTTCAGGACCGCAACAGACTAAAGGCGTCGTCAAATTGGAGCCGCACTTCGATTCTCTCAGAAATCTAACTTGATTTGGATTAAATTGCTTTAATGCCAATATCTTTGTGAACGACAGACATTTGAAGATTGGAATACAGCGAGCTTGTTCACCATTTGGAGTTAAACACAGATCTTCTTTTTCTGAAACAAAACTATACTGATAATAGCAACTTAATGTAAGATTTAACATTATTTGTAAGATTATTAAAGCACAAGAAAGGCGGCTCCATAGATAATGTGTAGTCACTTCCCGAAGCCGTATGGCTACAGTTAATACTAGGTAATCTACCGTTAGCCTGACTTTCGTTCAGGTATTGGAAAGTTGGTATCAGATGTTAAATGATAATGTGTTTCAATGGAAAACTTTCAAAATATGTAATAACTATTACAGCTATTCAAATGATATTCTACTTTATATATTTGCTACCAATTAAACTTTTAGTTACGTAATCGACAGCGCGATTTTTAAATTATTCATTGTTGTCAATCATGGACATATTTGGCGCCGGACTTACTAACTGGAATTAAATTTTCCGCTGGGGATTCAGGTGGCAGCTCTGCTGTTAAAAATGTCAAATTTCCACACTTATTTATTTATTTCCTGACGTTGTCATTCGTTTTGACACTTTAGTTTTGTATTACGAGTTTTTGGTTTAAATAAAGTGTTATGATACTTTAAGCTTAAAAATGTTTACTAACAGACCACGCAGTCGGACATTGTTCTTTTTGAAACATCTTTAGTGTGCGAGAACCTCAAAGTGTACAAAATAGCTTAATAGCCGTAAAAAACTCATCGCAACTTTATTAGAATTTAAGTGCTGTTAAGGAGGTGAGTTTTGTTAATGTAAATAATAACTGTTTATATATTTATAATTAATTTAATTTTTTTTCCTAAAATATTTGGATTAAAATAAAATATGTAAAAGTGAGCATCGCTGTGCCGGTCAAGCTTAGTCACGTGACTATACGTTTATTTGATATGAACTTTATATGAAATTATACAAATTACAACTTAAATCAAGAAATAATGCGTCAAATTTTTGGCAAATGTTTCATAAAATCTCTCGTGTGCATATGAATAGATAGTATGATCAGTATATACATAACTTATTTTAACTAAGTTTCCGTTAAGGGTTGCTGTGATTTATATCTGACCCTAATTATTGAAGCGAGAATGAAATTAAAAGTTCAGTGAAGCGAACTTACTCTTCCCTAGGGATTTAGCGGAAACTACCCTTAAAAATCTGCATTGAAAACGAATATGAGTTCTTTCATATAGCACTAGTTTACTAATAAAAAAACATTTAATTTTTGAAGGGTTCTTTTTCCTTTTTCTTATAATCTCATATTTTGGTTATAAAAAGGCAGCACGTATCAAGTAAACGAACTGGCTGAAAAAATGGACTTTTCATGTCTTTTTTTTTGCAAATCTGATATTAGTCATTTTCAATTTTATTCTTTGACAAATATGAAATTAAATATCGTTGGCAAAGAGTAAACGACCAAGTCCATTATTAACAAGTGCTTTATTCACGTGTATTTTTTTGTTTTTTTACATATGGATTTGTATGAACAATTATTATGTAATATGATATTGTGGAGTTTATGTACAAAAAGTGGAGTTGATCATAAAGTTCTTTTTGTAAAAATATGTGACGTTTTAAATATCATTTTGTTAAAAGATAAAATTCACGAAAGTTTGGACTTGGTCACTTTCTCTTGTATACCGACGACATCCGTTTTGTTTAGTTAAATGCAATTTTCGTTAAAACGCAAAACACACTAAATAGTCAGAATCAGCAATCTCTACTCTATTATTTTGAACAGGAAAGAGATCACGGCGAGCCTTTTTTGCCGTTACAGCGTTAGAAAGGTAAGAATTGATATTGTTGTTACAGTTTTGGTATTTTTATTGAAAAAAAAACATAGATCTTTCTGCGTGTTTCAGCTGCGGTCTGTGCGTTAGAAAGGTAAGAATTGATATTGTTGTTAAAGTTTTGGTATTTTTATTGAAAAAAAAACATAGATCTTTCTGCGTGTTTCAGCTGCGGTCTGTGAGTAGAATCGCATCAAGTGAAGACTATTGTTAACCAATTAGAATTTTACCTTTTTCTACTTTATCTACTTTATCAAACCTCTTTAACTTGATCTCTCCTAGTCCTGGATCTATAATAGAGGATATATCTCTCTTTCTCTATTGCCTCCTTGGATTTGAGGTTAATTCCTATTGTGAGGACCTGACTCTGGCCCTCCTTCCTCGAGTTGATGCAAGGGTTAGTCGGTCCACTTCTACAGAGCCCCGCATGTACAAGTAAGGGAGACGAGAATACAATGGGTTGCACTCTGGTGCCCCAAGTTTGAGACCAGTAGAGTGTCTTCTGTCTAGCTACGCATCCCTTTGATCTGGTCCCGATATCGTAGGATTTAGGTTTTTAGTCAGGTTGATGAGGTCCTCTCTTTGGTCCTGGCGGTTAAGCCAAGACCTCCCACACCTTCTGCCCGTGATACATGACCACAGACAGTAGAGGTGCCTGGTATGATTGAGAGGGTAGTACTATCCCGCATTGTTATACATCTTAGTGCAATTCCCTGGCCACGAAACTATAGCCAGGGACCAGATAATGAGATGCTCCTTAGACCCAATTAACGTGCCAGAGGAGGTTTCTCCTAGAACCTGACTAGGAGCTTCTCCACCAACGACAATGTCTGGAATCTCCTAATGAAAGATCCCGCTGTACAAACTCTAAGACTAAACTTATGGGCCTTAAGCTAAACATCGACAAAACCAACATCATGCGTGCACTCCCCCGGAAGATCACAACAATGCTAGAAAAATCTGAGAAGAACTATTGGAATATGTGACAGAATTCAATTACCTCGGCAGTTTGATTTCGGAAACAGCCAATATTGATTCTGAAATTCAGCACAGGATTAGCAGCGCCTCAAGAGCATTCTGGAAACTAAAAGACAGGGTATTCTACAATCATGACTTGAGTACAAAAACGAAACTTGCAGTGTACCGAGCAATTATAATCCCCACCATGTTATATGGGAGCGAAACCTGGGTGCCGCACCACCAACACATGAACGCATTGAACAAGTTGCAACAGACACACCTTAAACTACTCTTAAGAATCCGGTGGTTCCATCATGTCTCAAACGTATCGGTCCTTTAAAAAGCTAACTGCGAGAGTCTTGAAGTCATAGTTACAAAATGGGCTGGTCGCGTCTGCAGAGTGCAAGAAAACCGCATACCAAAATCTCTGCTTTGCGGTGAGCTTGTAGACGGTAAGAGGAGGCCGGGTGGACAACTGAAAAGGTACATTTTCCACGAAAACTTAAAGGAGATTAACATGCAGAATGAGTGGGACGAAGCAGCTCACAATAGAACTCAATGGAGAAGAATTGTAAACTCAGTTAACAGCGACAACCAAAAAGTAAAGAGGCAACAAAGCAATGGGATTTTTGAATGTCTGGAGTGCGGTAGGCAGATAACATCACGTATCGGGCTTTTCAGTCACAGAAAAGCTCATGAAAGAAATCGCCTTGCGTGACCATCTTCTTATGTGTGTCGAATACGCGTCAGCGAGTAATGACAGTATGTATGTGGTGTGTATCTCTGTTTACGTGGAATCTGAACTACGGTCTTCAGCCATACATTATCAAGGGCCTATCGACTTGACGAGTGTCTAAATCGACTTTTACTAACGATATATCTGATCTCTCCGGCCTCGATATTATGATAATGTTACCAGTCTTCCCTAAGTCGGTAAAGTTTAAATTTTATCTGATCTCTTGAAGTACATGCGTGAAAACTGGATGAAAAAAACTTTTATGTACGTAGAGACTTATTTTGTACTAGTTGAAGCCGCCACGACATGCGACATCAGGAAAAAACTTTTTATTTTTTGTTTAATTAAATAAAAAACAAAAAATTCGGCGACGAGAGTTTTTTGAAGAGCCAATTAGCTATCTTTTAGTAACAAAGCAACTTTCTAGAGCAAGTCGTTACTTCAGTAGAGACGACACAGATAAACATTAGCATTTTATATATGTAGATACCGTATGATCGAATAAAAACGGCGTCCAGTTGGCTTGGAAATGACGATCGATGACATTTCCCATATAAATTTTCATATAAAATGACAGCGATCTTCATTTCATAGCCATCGCTGACGCCGTTTTTATTCGATCATACGGTATTTTTTTGTATCTAAATCGAATAAACATAGATTTCAGATTATTTCTCCCAGTTTTATATTACAAAAATGTATAACTAATAAGATTTCTGGAAATCCTTCCAAATCCTTAACAATATTATCGATGTCCTTAAGTTACTAGTCGTAATATGTAAAATATAAATTAATAAAAAATATATCAATTAAAGGAAGAAATGATCCGTAGAATTTTTACTACTATAAATATGAATAGATACGATCAAGGCTTATTATATGGTTTCTGTGAAGGGTCGACCTTATATTTCTGACCCTAATTACTGAAGCGAAAATGAAATGAAAAGTTCAGTCAAGCGAGTAACCATTCTCCAGAGATTTAGCGGAAACTTCTCTTTAATTTTTTTTATAAAGTTTAATGTGTTAAGTATTTGATTTATACAACAGATAAAAACTAATTACAATAAAAATCTTCAAAGATTTTCAATGATCAATGAATTTTTTATAATAAATATTGTACAGCGTGACTCCTCTAAATCGACTGGTTGCATCGGAATTATTTTTTACCATATTGTTGGGTTAGTGGGTTTTCGGATTTTACGAAGAAAATTCAGGTCAGTCTCATGAAATAATTTTATGTCGAAATTGCAACGTTCTTGATATACCGGGTGTTGCATCGTCGGACGGGACATAGGAAATCCCATGTAAATTTTAATGGGGTCAATTATTGACTTCCCTAATTATTTTAGAGAATAATTCTATTTAGGTTTATTGAAGAGCACTAAAACCCACATTCAAAAGAATAACTTTAGATATTTTTGATTAGCTCGTTTACGAGTTATCGCCGATTTCTTTTTAAATATTTCTCCTTTCTTATGGCCCTGTATTTACTCATGAACACCAGTCCAGGTAAAAGATAACTGTCAAATGAAGTTGTCATTTCAGAAATTTACCTATTTAGTGCTTTATTATTATTGAAAAACTCATTCCTACATCGGAAATCTTAAAGATGTATTTATAAATATAAATTAATACGAATTAAAGTAAAATAAAGTAATCAATTACAAGGTTCATTATAGTATTATTACAATATTCAATAACTTATTAATTTAGGTACTATTAAATTGTTAGAACTTTAGGATTTAACAAGATGTTCAAATATTCCTCGATCGACTGCTAGACAATAACCCAGGCGATCATAAAATTCTCTTCTTAAATAGTTGGTAGTTGGCTAGTTGGTAAACTGAAATTCTATTGCATTCGGCAGAAATAGAATTTTTTAACTCATCTAGATTTGGGTATTTTTTATCCTTGTATATCCTGTTTTTTAAATGGCCCCGGAGAAAGAAATCATTTGGCGAAATATCAGGAGACCTTGCTGGCCAATTTACTGTATGATTTAGGCCAATAACATTTCCGTTAAAACTATTGTCTAAATATTCCCGAACAACCAGAGTACTATGTGCCGGGCAGCCATCCATTTTGTACCAAACTTCCTGATTTTCCCTAGCGCCATCATGTAAAGCAGGTAAAATATGTTTTTCGAGGCTTCGGTGAACTATCCTGACACACGATTTTCCTTAGAAAAGAAAGTTTACGTTACCTTAAAATGAACTTCTTGGATTCTTTGACTAAAATCTGATGCGGAAAAACACGTTTCACATAAAAACTTTCTTAAAAATGTTGTTATTTTATTTTTATAGCAAATTCCTGGGCAAATTTCAAAACCGATAATAAAAGAGTCGCGGACTTGTTTATATCCGTTTCTATGTTTACGCTGTCAGTAGTGAAGGTCGAGTTTTGACAAATTTTGCGAATTGATACATGGTTGTCAGATGAGCTAGTAAATTATCCAGAATTTCATGCATCTTTTTTTTAGGAAAAAAATGACATCACAGTGTTCGCCTTTATTTTAAGAAATATTTCTTTCTGTTTTTCAAAACATTTAACACCAAATATCTCTGGAACAAAAGGTGTGAATCTCAAAAACGATACCGTTTTTGTAAAGTACACATTCAGCGCTACAACATATTACGAAATAAGCAAAATCGATTTTCCAAATTTTTTCGAAAACATTCCTCGGTACCCCCCTGTCGATTTTGTCAAAAACCGAAATCTCTCAGATCGCAACTAAAATATACCCACTGATAGTTCATTTTATGTAGAATTGAATGCTGAAAATCGTTTTCCGATATCTCTAACAGATTTCGAGTTATTTGAGAAAATCTACAAAAGAAATATTTTTTTGTTTTTCGAAACATTTAACACCAAATATCTCTGGAACAAAAGGTGTGAATCTCAAAAACGATACCGTTTTTGTAAAGTACACATTCAGCGCTACAACATATTACGAAATAAGCAAAATCGTTTTTCCAAAAATTTTCGAAAACATTCCTCGGTACCCCCTGTCGATTTTGTCAAAAACCGAAATCTCTCAGATCGCAACTAAAATATACCCACTGATAGTTCATTTTATGTAGAATTGAATGCTGAAAATCGTTTTCCGATATCTCTAACAGATTTCGAGTTATTTGAGAAAATCTACAAAAGAAATATTTTTTTCTGTTTTTCGAAACATTTAACACCAAATATCTCTGGAACAAAAGGTGTGAATCTCAAAAACGATACCGTTTTTGTAAAGTACACATTCAGCGCTACAACATATTACGAAATAAGCAAAATCGATTTTCCAAAATTGTTTAATGTTTTTTTTAATACGAATTAGACTACTTTAGTTTATCAAATTGGCTCTAGCAATAAAAATACGCTGTAAGCTGTAACCCACCAAAGCAAAGAAAACACGCTGTAAGCGTGTTTTCATTTTTTTGGTTTGTGTTTGGCTCGGATTGAGTTGGTTTGGTTTGGTTTGGTTTTGTATTGGTTGGTTTTGTATGGATTGGTTAGGGTATGGTCGGGTTGGTTTGGCTGTTTTTTTTTCCTTTTTATCTGTTTGATTGATATTTTGGTTTAAACAAGCGCGTGTTTTGGTTGCTTTTCTTTCACTCTTTTGTTGTTTTTTTTAGTTTTCCCATTCACATATTACCAACGCATTTTTATTACAGAAATTACAGAAAAATCTAGAATTATGACTCTTGGCTACGTATTAATTTTTATTTGCTTGTGATGTAGTAAAAATAACGTTTTCTAGTTTTGTTTAGTTAATATTATTTTGTTGTGTTCATAAAATGTGTTAATTTTTATTTTTTTTAGAAAATTTTTAGGTATTTAAGTAAGTCTATGGAATGTATTGATAGAGAAATTCATGTAAACGTTTTATTCAAAAAGTGTGAATTATTCCTCATTCGCCCTGTATTTTCACTTTTGATTTATTGTCTTTATGTAAGATTTGAATGTGAAAATCTTATATTATTTTAAAACTTAGTCCAAATAAATTTACATATATTCTGAGAACTTAATTCCGATTCAAATGTCATTTTCTATGGCTAGTCAATTTTGTTTGAATTGCGCTACATTGTATCGACATTTAGAAAAAATTAAATAAATAAAGTTTAATAAAAATAAATTAAAAAAAACGGAACCATACAAACATAAACTTTTTTTTGTTAGGTTTTACAAATCATTAAAAATCGTACTTATTTAACGCACATGTTTCTAACCTTGGTTTAAATTGTGCTGTTAAAATTAGCAAAAAAATATCATTTTTAATAGAAACTTGTTGCTGAAACCCACCTGTTTGTGTATTTATATTTTCTGCTGTATGGTCTGGTACTGGACTAGGTGATATAGGACTCGTGTCTGGTGTAAGATTCTGCATTAGTATAGGGCTAATTTGTTCCTCTTCTTCCACAGCTCCTCTAAAGTTAGCTACGGGTCGATAAAGTGTAGTTTCGCAACAGTAAAAATTGGCACCGTCAACATCATATCCACAAACTGATTCATTAAAGATGACAGGATTGAAGGTCAAATCACAGTGTTCTCTTCTAGTGCAATTTCCTATCGTATCTCTTAATGTTACACAAGAGTTGGTTGCTAAAATGTATTATATGATTAATTTAAAGTACCTAAAACATTGGCACTAGCTATTATCATTTATAATTAGACTACAATAATTCCAAAAGTATTTTTACCATAGTCGAATTAGTTAAAAAAAATCCCATCGGCGCGGCGGGCGGGCGGTAGGAATTTCCACACACAGTTTTACACTAGTCTTAAATCTATTGGATTGATATATTTGTGAAAAAATCCCATAGATGAGCTGATGAGCTCGAGGAGGAGGGAGGGGTTAAATGACAATTTTATCATTTCTTTTTTCGATTATATCTCGGAAACTTTGACATCTACTAAAAACATTCTATATATAAAATAAAACTGACAAAATACTCTATATATTTTGTTTCCGAACTTTTGCCCGTTGTTTCCGAACCTATACATATGTATGCTAAATGAAATGGCAAATTCCAAATCTGTACAAACACATTTCATTTCATTGCAGGATTTTTGTTCAATTAGCGTTTACGAAATACAATATAATGATTTTTTAAGTATTACTTTTAGTACACTATATTGTGATATTATAAATTTTATACGAGATGCGTTCATTTAAATCACACTTGTAAGTTATTTGCTTAAATAAATAATTTTTTCTAATAATTTATTTCGCTTTATATTTTTTGGTACTTAATTAAAATATCAAAACCGACATACTACTTTATTTAATATACATGATACTATAAACAAAGGATTTTATTGTGGGAACTGTAATAAAAAGAAAAACGAAATTATCGGGCAAAACCCACAGACTAAAATATGACTACCCGTAGACACTTAGGCATTGCTTTATGCCTAAGTGTAATGTTATTACAAATGGTGCCTCGTGCCTCGTTTGCTTCCCTTTTTTTCCGGCAGAAACACTAAGTAGTCATATTTTAGTCATGTTTCCATGGCTAGTGTTACTGCGAGGTTTTGCCCGATAATTTCGTTTTTCTGTCTTATTACAGCCCCCACAGTAATATCCTCTGTTTATTGTTTTCTCCTGGCCAAGGTGATTGCAGCGAGTAATGTGTTGGTACCTCCGCAGTGGTCTTTTAGACGAAGAGCTGGCTACATAAAAAACCTTATCATCGTTACATGGCTAATTTTTCTTGTGAAGTACCCTTTTATGTAGCCATTATGAAATAGTCATGTCTGCCAGCGCGATCCCGAAGCTTAAAGCGGGGGCGGCCAATCGAAAGGGTGAAATTTTGACACTAAAAATATTATAAGATACAAGAGTTATAATTGCGAAAATAGCTTTTATTTATCATTAAGAAACGTGGAAAATTGTTGGCATACATTTTTCTCGTGGCTAAAATCCCGGCAGGCAACGCGAAAGAGGCATGACATTTTGACAAAAAAAAATCATCCCATACATGTGTGCCGATTTGTGGAATGTCATGTATATTTTTTTCAAAAAGCCGTATGCAAAAGGGCAGACAAAAAAATCGTGGCTCAATCAGCGGTAGACAGTTATCAAAAGCCCGATATTACTCTACAGGGTAAGTAATAAGTGAAAATATTTTCAGAGCTGGTAGATGTCGATAAAAGAAACATATTTTCTCTTTACCGTTATCCAAAATAACCGAATTATTCGAGTTTGAAATTTTAAAAAAGAAATTGATTTATTTTTAAATAATTTTGTGAGCCACCTGTTTTTTTTTCTGTATTTGCATCCATGCTTTTAGTGTCGTAATCATAGACATATAAAGCCGTATAAGCATGGTAGGTTAAGAAACAATTATACTGTGGGTAAATTTGCGGTATGGCAGTTCTAAAAAGAATGGCAGTTCTAAAAAGTTATGGCAGTAAAGGGTATGGCAGTTCTAAAAAGTTTTCTAAAATATGCAGGAAAATTTAAAAAATGCACGATTTCTAATTTATATTTTGCAAAAAAGATATATTTATGATATAATCATATACATGATTTATCTATACTGATTTAGTCACGATCTTTTGTCTACCCTTTTGTATACGGCTTTTAAAATAAATAAATGATATTCCGCCAATCGGCATGCATGTATGCGATATTTTTTTCAAATTTTTTTCTTTCGCGTTTTCTGCCGGCACTTTAGCGACGAGAAAAATGTCTGAAGTGAGAAAAATGTCTGCCAACAATTTTCCACATTTCTTAGTAACAAATAAAAGCTATTTTCGCAATTATAACTCGTGTACCTTATAATATTTTTAGTGTCAAAATTTTACCCTTTCAATTGGCCGCCCCCGCTTTAAGCCCCGGGATCGCGCTGGCAGACATGACTATTTCATAATGGCTTCACAAAAGGATACTTCACAAGAAAAATTAGCCATGTAAACGATGATAAGGTTTTTTTATGTAGCCAGCTCTTAGACTATTTCGGTGGTAATGCTGGCGAATTGTGAGCTACTGATGTGTTTTAGGTTACATAATACCGTATGATCGAAAAAAAAATGGCGTCCAGTTGGCGTGGAAATGACGATCGATGACATTTCCCATACAATTTTACATATAAAATGACAGTGATCTTCATTTGATAGCCATCACTGACGCCGTTTTTATTCGACCATACGGTACTATGTATATTAAAAAAATAATACATTTAAAAAATAATAGTAAATTATTGTTTCTGAATCGTAAAAAATGCTTTTTCCAAATATGCTAACGAACCACATTCGTTCAATTTTAAAAAATCGAGATATGATTAAAATACGATTTGAGCATATTTTAACTGACCAAGACAAGACACGAAAAACATTAGACGATCAAATCAATTTTACCAAGGCTCCTTGATAAAAAAAATAGTGCTTTTAATACAGCCATTACTCTCTAGATTGATATTTAAAATAAAATGTTTTTCTTTTTTTTAGGAGAAAATGTCAAATATGTATATCATTCAAATCGGTATATCGGTCCTTAAAATATCTTAAAAAATGTGTTTATTTTTAAAGATCGCTAATGCACTCTAACGGACAAACGAAGCACTTTTGTATAGAGGTAAATTGTGTCCAATGAATTTATTTTAATTCCAAAAATACGCAGTAGTTCTATGTCTACGGAATATTCGGACACCCTGTAGATTGATTCCAATAGTATCGTTCGGCATTTAAAACATAGCCCTATAATACAGGGTGGCGCACCTCATTCGCCTCGGTTGATTATACGAAAACGGAAAGATGTAGAAACAAAATATTTTATGGGTATATGTAGAAAGGTAATGTGCATAATTTAAAATTAGTTTGAAATGTACAGGGTGTGTGAGAACGAAGATCCATACCAAAGTTATATTTTTTCTTATGGAACACCCGGTATTTTATTTCACTTTTTGGATTTTTGGACATAAAATAAGGAATTTATTATAAGAGTTTAATATGTTTAAAAGCTTTAGTTTTTGAGATATTTAAAGATATTTAAATATGCATGCTATAATAAAAATGTTTGTCAACACCCTGTACATTACTTTTCAGAGTTAATTCTTGTGCTGACTTTGAAGCCAGTGAAATAAACTTTACTAAAAAAAAATTTTGCTTCCTTAAATGTATACAGGGGTATCAAAAATTGCTGGTCTATTTTAAATATTTATTTTACATAAAAACTTCGTTATTTTACTAATTACGTTAATACAACACTATGTATTTTTTTGAATAAGTCGAAGCAGATTTAAATGCTCTTTCAAACTATATTGGGGTTTCCTATACCTATCTGGCTCAGATTTTAAATAAAAAGCGATTTTTCAATAAAATTTTTAATCAAGATGGCTGGTGTTGCCATGGGAATTTTCTAGTGACACTTATTAGCTATTTTCAAAATCGATATTAGTTTGTGGACTTTATTTAAATTTATAACAGCTTATTTTTATTTAATTTACCTACAATAAGGTTAATAAGTAAGTATTTATTATTTTATCAAGAAAAATGAAGCAGTGTCTGCTGGCGGAAGGAATGGATACGTTACTAGTGATCTTATTTTGTGAGGACAATTGCTTGTTGGCCTGAAGGGTTTATGCCCAAAGATATCCAAATAGGCCAATATCCAAATAGGAATTTTTTTCCCATACAAAAATCATCCCATACATGTGTGCCGATTTGTGGAATGTCATGTTTATTTTTTTCAAAAGCAGTATGCAAAAGGGCAGACAAAAAAATCGTGGCTCAATCAGCGGTAGACAGTTATCAAAAGCCCGATATTACTCTACAGGGTAAGATAAGTGCAAATATTTTCAGAGCTGGTAGATCTCGATAAAAGAAACATATTTTCTCTTTACCGTTATCCAAAATAACCGAGTTATTCAAGTTTGAAATTTTAAAAAGAAATTGATTTATTTTTAAATAATTTTGCGAGCCACCTGTTTTTTTTCTGTATTTGCATCCATGCTTTTAGTGTCGTAATCATAGACTTATAAAGCCGTATAAGCATGGTAGGTTAAGAAACAATTATACTGTGGGTAAATTTGCGGTATGGCAGTTCTAAAAGGTATGGCAGTTCTAAAAAGTTTTCTAAAATATGCAGGAAAATTTAACAAATTCACGATTTCTAATATATATATATTTTGCAAAAAAAAATATATTTATGATATAATCATATACATGATTTATCTATACTGATTTAGTCACGATCTTTTGTCTACCCTTTTGTATACGGCTTTTAAAATAAATAAATGATATTCCGCCAATCGATATACGTTATCGATACGTTACTAGTGATCTTATTTTGTGAGGACAATTGCTTGTTGGCCTGAAGGGTTTATGCCCAAAGATATCCAAATAGGCCAATATCCAAATAGGAATTTTCTTCCTTTGAAAAACTACTTTTCCTATTTCGCAGAGCTGATAGTGTGGTATATGAAAAACCTATTAAGCAGCAACCTGTTATTGGAAGTGAAGAAAATAAATTTGCCTTAATTGGCTCTTTTATAGAAAATCCAATATATCTACAAGTCATCGTAATATAAATCAAAGAACAACTTCTTTATTTTTCTTGATAAAATAATAAATATTTACTTATTAAACTATTGTAGGTA